CAGTGTCCCTTTAAGGGTGAACGGTGTATAGAGGCAAATGTGCAGCCCCCCACGCCGCCATCTCTGAGGCACATATGCGGAATTGCGTGCAATTGTATTTAAAGCTTCGCCGAGTCGCGAGAGAGTTGCATGATCTGCCCGTGCCACAGAGCACGCGAACTCGGACGCTGCCCAGAGCGATGAGCAAAGGTTGTGGAATCAGGGCTGCTGAAGCGGCATCTATCGCCGCTTCAATCAGACAGGAGCACATTGCGTTGAAGCGAGCAAACCAGCAGATAAGAGAGGATGCGCGTGCACACTGCGGTTCTCGGCCATGTGATGTTTCTTCCGTGACCAAGTTTTCGTGACATCAACCTCCCAACTTTGCACCCCCTTTCAAGGGCGGAAAAAACGTAACTCTACGTCAAGCAAAAAAAAAAAAAACGTTAAAAATTAAAAAAAAAAAATCTCTCCATTTCCACTGGGAATGGAGAGGTCTCTGGTTCAATACCAGGACCAGACAGATTTTTTTAGTCACACACCAGTCGCCTTGTGCTTCAAGATTTGAGTTTGTCCTTTGTCCCCCTTGTTCTTTTTCTCCAGAGATTATTACAGTTATCTTTGACCAGCTTGCTTGCACCTTTGCATTAGTTGCATTATCATCATTTGAAGCTAAGGTGGTTTGGCGTATGAGAGGAGGTCGTCAAGAAGCAAAAGCAGACGCAGTGCATCTGTTTTCGACCACATCTGTCAGATGGCATAACTAGTATCACTGAATTGAGCAGAGCTTTGTGAACAGAGTAGCAGACAGTCTGCTTAGGAATATACTATCGTGAAAACATTTTTTTAGTAGCTACACTGACTAGGGAAAATTTGAGATCCTTTATACAGCTTTAATTCCTCATAATCAGAAGTGGCAAAGTTGGGGAAAAGGGCACTATATAAATGTTCTCACTTTGCTGCGAGTTGCTCGGATCAGACAAGCGTGAGAAGCCTCCAGCCTCTGAAGCTGGCTAGCAAGCTGAGCTAAGGTCCCTCTATACTGAAAGGTAGCGACATCTCTTGAAGAATGCCGCCCGCCGCTTTTGTTTTGGTTGTTTTTGCTTTTCGAGGCCCCTCGGCGCCATTTTCGCTCCGGTTACTCGGCGCGCCAGACAGCGTCGGCTATTAACTGCCTAGGTAAGCTGCTGCATTCAGACTGGCGTTTGAATTAGTTGAATCGCAACAGCCATGCGGTTCCGCTCGTTGTCGTCATCAAATGCGGGTGGATTTGTAATAAGTATTTAAGCAAGAGCATTCGCAAGTGCGGTCAAACCGCCAGTGTGAATGCAGCAGCATATGGCGCGTCTGGGGAGATTGGTTGGGGGTCTGGGCTTCGCACGGCAGCATCACAGCTCCGCTTTTCGCTCGGCGACAGTTCGTAACCTCTGACGGGCTGCTGCGATTTCAGATGCAACTGGTGCAACAACCATCGCAGCGATGGCAAGTTCTTCAGCATTCCATGTCTGCACTTCACACGCAAGCTTCACATGGTTCAGGTTTTCGCTTTGCGTTCGTGAGCTATGACGGGGTGCTGCGCTTTCGGGTGCAGCAACTGTAACATCGACGGCAAGAAATGCTTCAAGTTCTTCAGCATTCCATCTGACAAGCACGACACAGCTCGCCGGAAGGTTTTAGTGTGTGTGTGCGCGCGCACCTCAATATTTTTACTTATCTCGCCGTGTGCAAGCTATTCATTTATTGTGATAGCCACAATTCAAGTTTTAGCATCTGTGCCTTAATTTTTTTTGCATTTCGCCGTTGAATTTTGTGTAATCAAGTCATGCACTTTGTGATATATATAGCTGGGATTCAGCTTCTTGTATCCGTGCCTTAATATTTTTATATATCTTACTGTTGACTTTTGTGCAAGCTTGTAATTCACTTTCTGATAGCTGGGATCCAACTTCTAGTATCTGCATGCTTTAATACTTTTATGTGCCTCGCCGTTGACTTTAGTGCAAGATAGTCACTCGCTTTGTGATACGAGATTCAGCCTTAATTCTTGGAATATTTTGTATATGTCCGTTGATTTTCCTGCAAGCTAGTCGTTTACCTTCTGATAGTTGAAATTCAACTTTTAGAGTCTGTGCCTTAATAGTTATGTATCTCACTGTTGCCTTCTGTGGAAGCTAGTCATTCACTTTATCATAGCTTAGATTCACCTTCTAGTATCCGTGCCTTAATATTTTTATGTATCGTCATTGACTTTTGTGCAAGCTAGTCATTCACTGTGCCATGGCTGAGATTCAGCTTCTAGTATACGTGCCTTGATGTTTTCATGTACCTCGTCAGTGAGTTCAGTAGAAGCAGAAGCTCCGTCTTTAGCACACACCTGTCGCCGTCTGCTATCATTTCGCTCTGCAATCTCTTCGTTATCAAAAGCAAAAGCTAGTGCTGGCCTGGAGGTGGAGCTTATAGACGACTACATAGACAGGCTGCTTCACACAGTTGCTCTTCGCTGTGCTACAGTGCGATCACTCGAGATGGCACGAATTAGATTGTAACAGGATTAGTATAATCCTCTTTGAGTTGTGGCTCAGGCCCTCACAAGCGGTCTGAGCACAGCGAAGCAACCCAGTGAAAAGTAGGCTTGTGCCAGTCCTTGTGAATTGGTGTGTTTTAAAATAAAGATATGCATTACGTGTGACTTAATTTTAGTTTTAAGTCTTTTTTCCTGTAGTTTTTTTACAGTCACTGGCAGCAGAACTTGAAGGCCTATGTGGCAGTTATTTGCAATAATAAAGAAATGCCTTCAAGAGCCAAAATTGTTCCATTTCATCGCTTGATGAATAAAACGAGATTATTTTAGTTGGGGAAACGACAGTCCATAAAGGGTTCACTGCTGTGAAGGGATAATGCCCTGCCTCCAATAAGCCAGGTAAACTTACAAAGTCTTTGTAATGAGCCGAGTAAGCTGACAGTGTCTGGTAAAAACAAAGTACACACAAGGCATCACAAGAAATTTTCAAAACCATAAAGCTTTGAGAAGTTGTAGGTGTTAGCGGATAGTTTGGGTTTTCGCTCGTTCTGCTAAGATTCTTTTACCCGGAATATTCCGATTTCGTTATGCCGAGGAGAGGGTGAAGGCTCCCAGCCGCGCATTTGCAGCAATAGGGATCAAATGTTAGTAGATTGTTTTTGCGCAACTATTAAGACACGTTGCCCACGCCAAGGACGGGTATCGTTAAAAAGGGAAACATTTTTTTTATTATTATCTAGACCACAGAAATCTCCGCTTGACATGAACTAAGCGCGAACTTTACAAGTAGAGGCTCCTTACGTTCGATCGCGCGTCGGCTGCGTGAACGCTCGTACAGCGGGAGCCCGAGTCAAAGCTGCCCGCTCACGTCTGTAGCCTCTTTGGTTGGTCTATGCTAAGGTGAGGCGAAGTACAGTCGCTTTGAGGAGAGTGCATCAGTTGTGAAAAAAAAACAATCGCTTCGTGTTTTGCCTCTTTTACGAAGTGACGAAAGAACGAGCGTGTGATCTCCCTTTGCGTCTGGGGCACACGTGCGGTAATACAAAAACACTGCCTTCAAACGTACCAAAGTCACTGTGTAACATACAAGAGTTCGCTGCTGCGCTAGTAGGCGGCTTTGCTCGTGCAGGAGCGAAACAGAGCCTCACTCCGGTAGCATAGTAGCGTAGACCGTGCACGCATCGCGTGCCCATTTTCGCCCTAGTTCGCGTTTTCTAGGCGGTCAAGTCGTTCTGCTGATATTTCGGAAGTCTCTGTAGTCAATTATGCGTTAAAAAAACTGTCAAACTCGCGACAGAAATGCAATCGCAAAACACGAAAACTATTGGAAACAACCTTCCGCCACATTGTATCCAAGCGAGGGCGTCTGCTAGCTGGGAGCAATCCATGCGGCGCCACCGTTGACGCGCGAGGGTGAGACAGAAAAAAGAGGGAGAGGAGGGAGGAGATCAAGTCGCTACCTTTCTTAAGTGACACTGACTAGGGAAAATTTGAGATCCTTTATACAGCTTTAATTCCTCATAATCAGAAGCGGCAAAGTTAGGGAAAAGGGCACTATATAAATGTTCTCACTTTGCTGCGAGTTGCTCGGATCAGACAAGCGTGAGAAGCCTCCAGCCTCTGAAGCTGGCTAGCAAGCTGAGCAGGCAAGTGGCACCATCTAAGAAATGCAGACGAAAACAGCTGCACTCCGTCTGCTTCTGCTGCTCGACAACATTCTCTTTTAGGCAAAACCAGTTTTTTGCTTATAACTTTTGATTCAGATAACGCCAAGTTCTGAAACTTGTAGAAGAATCTGGAGCGGGGCAAGTTGGTACATCTTAGATTAGAAAAGCGCCAGAAAACAAGGACAACAGAAAGAATAGACGAAACGATGCGCTCCTTCGGTATCCGATCTCAATCATTCGGGTTGAATCTGGACTTTTGGCACTGCACAAGATATTTCCGCGATGCGAAAAATACACGGTTCTCCCAGACCCAGTATTGCAATCATCAGCTCAGTGTTATGAAAGAAAAAGTGACAATGAATTAAAATTGCCATTTATCTGTTGAAACGATATTGCCACGACCATCAGATAATTGCCGGATTTCATCACAACTCCGTAATAGAAAAGTATCAATATTGCACCCTCTTTAAATTTGATTAAAACAAAAACTAAGCTCCGATATTGAAGCGGCAGTTGCGCAACACATAGTCCATTAGCAGGAAAAAGAGACTGATGTCTCCATTACTTGTTAACGCTTCGAAAATATGATCCAAGAATTAAAGGGTTTCCAGCAATTCACGTTGGCAACCTTTTATTTTTCGTAGTTTCCCGTCTGTCGGATATGCACGCATTACATCCAACTACATGTGTCTTTGAATCAAGCTCCATTTGGCCCCGATGACCTTACATGCTCACAAGAGATCCGGTGCATACTGCTAGGTTCTCAGAGCAGAGGGACGATAAAGAGCAGTCCAAAAGCAACAGCCTCCGTGGCAGCACTGTGAAGCCCTCACCTCTCCCTGGGTGAGGAAGTGCAGGGGCAGCAGCTGCCGGTCGGCCGTCATGAGGGGCAGGAAGGCCACCTCCAGGTCGTCGGGGTCCCTCGGCGGGGCACCGGCACCCCCCGGCACCTCGGGCTCGGGCTCCATGGGCACCAGTGCCGAAAAGTGGCCCCGGGTGTAGCCCAGCGCTATGGGCGATTTCCAGCAGAAGCTCGGCTCCCAGAGAAGAGGGATGTAGATACCTGCCCGGGGAGAGGGACATTCAGATTGCTTCGGTCAAGCTGAAAGGCAGCCAGTGGCATAGTAACGGGCTTCTGGGCACAAAACACCTAAGGGCCCCGGGGGTGCCGGATGGCCTAGCTACATTACTGGAGACGGCAACAGTGTTTCCGCATAAAGTGATTCTGGGCCAATGTTTCCATTGTTAGTTTTAACCAAGCAGCAAGTGGTACTATGCATAGAAAATAAAAGCTTCTTTAAGAAAGTGGCAAAGGAAGTGCCGCTTTGGGAAGGGTAATGGTGCAGGCGAGTTGCACAAACCTGCTCCCTCTAAGCCTAGTTCAAGGTCAGGGCCCTCCGGGAAAAATCAGTAAAGACGTGCAGCATGAAGAGGAAAAGAAATGAAAAAGAGTGGGGAGCGAAGCAAAATGAAAATGGCAATCGTGGCCGGTTGGCCAAACACAAAACAGCCGGGAAAGCAAATACAACAAACACAAAAGCACCAACTGCTACACATATCCATCTGGGAGTTCAAAGAGCTGAGCGACCGTGATGCAACAGCTGGGAAAACATGTTAACTGAAATCGTATCACTAAGGGTCTGTCGTAAAAGACCCCTGGAGATAAGATGAACATACAACGTCCAAAACAAATACAGTGCTGAAGTTGAAGTGCAAAGATGGGAACCAGCTCGTAAAAACAGCGCAATAAACCAAATTCTCAAAAACAAGGATTCCTGAACCGGTTATCGTACACGGGCAAAGATGGGTGCTAAAACACAGGTCAGTGGGAACGAGGTCAATAACCAAATGAAACCAAATGTGCAACCGTGCGAATGAGAAAAAGATAAGAATGTAGTGTACATCCCCTATGTCAAAGGAGTTTTCGAACCTCTGAGCCGTGCTTTGAGGCCCCTTGGTATTCAAACTGTTTACAAGCCTTAGAGAACTAGTGGAAATTCTGTTTCCAAACCAAAGGACCCAACCCCGGCAAACATCCAGAGAGGCGTTATCTACAACATCCCTTGCAGTGACTGCCCGGCATCCTACAATGGTGAAACTGGACGGAGGAGAGAGACCAGGCTCAAAGAACACAAGCGTGACATCACGTAGGCATCCCACATGATGCGACTGAAGACTTTGCATGGACAACGGGTCAATATTTTGACTTTGCGGCCGCCACAAACTCCTAGAATTGTGGTTTGTCCGCAGCAACACATCCATGTGCAACCAAAACCGCAGCCCCTTTCACGACGCTTATCGGATATTCTTGATAAATAGCGTTGACTTGAGGTTGAACCTTGCATTTACTTTGTAACTACTGAAGATACCTCCCACATGGGAGGCGAAACGTTTCATGAAATTGTTTTTACACCGAAGCTGTTCATGGCTATGGTTCCGTGAATTTTTCGTGTGCAGTGACTAAAACTTGCGCTCCTACCGCCGCATGCGCACACCTTCCCCGTGTAAAAGATTTGAAGTAAATAAGCAAAATAAAAGGCTGACGAATGTGTCTGCAAGATGCCGCTTGCTTTAGAACAGTTACTGCTGCAGACGCCAGCCTCGCACGCGTACACCTTATCCGTATAAAAGATTCAAAGTAAATAACCAATATAAAGCGTTGACGAACGCATGTGCAAGATGCCATTTCTTTTAGGCTTTTACTTTAGAACAGTTACTGCTGCAGACGCCAGCACGTACGGCGTGTGGAATACCATTCCCTGCGTTCTCCTTGATGCTTGGGTAATTTTGCAATAGGTCTATTCAGTGGAGTAGTTATCAATAGGCACCATTTTTAAGATCAAGAGACTCTCAGGTAGATAATAAAGGTTTCTCAAAGATTTGCCGCTGTGCGACCCGCGTCGGCTATGTTTACGCTCGCACCGCCCTCTCTTTGCTGTTGTTCCATGCGCTTGAGTGCCTCGTTTGCTATCCTTCCGCTTTCCCGGGGTGGCGGCCCCGTCGCGCGTGTCTACTTTCCGCCAGGCAGCGGTTTCGTCACGCGTGTCTCGTTTCCTCTTGCTCCTCGAGGCGGGTCTGTGTCGTGTGCTAAACAGTTTCTATTCGCTGGTGGAATGGCTCATGATTTTTTCTGTTGTGTCAAGGTGGTGCTCTTATTTCAATAATGACGATACATACACCCGCTAACGAGTAGTAGCATCAACTAAACCAAGTACAGTATGGACCACTTACAACGTAACCGCTTATAGTGCAGGATCGGGTATAACGCAGCTTTTTTAAACCACCGGTTCGCCTCCCATAGAACTCCATGTAATTACATACCGCTTAAAATGCAGGCGCGCGAAGGGAAATACCGCTTATAGTGCGGTTTCTGGAGCAGCGCGCCGACCGGCGCAGCGAGCACGCTTCCCTGTGTGACACCAGATAACGGCGCTAGCCGCAAGCGGCACTCGCGGGGGCAAGGATGGCAAAGAGGTTTCGAAGAAGCGGAGAGAAGCGAAGAGAGAGGCTTCAGTTGCCATAGCGACAGAGGGACGCACGCACGTGTCGTTCACGGCGCAAGGCGTTGGCGAGCCCAACCAGCCGTTCGCGCGCGTTGCATGCCGGTCGCGGGTCGGCCGGTCGGCTTCTTCTATCCGCAAACATGGCGTCGGTGACGATCGTAGACGTCGATGGCGAGTTTATCGTTCCGCGTAAAAGCGCTATCCGTGACTGAATTTTCGTTGTGTGTCGCTATGATAACCCAGCACGTACGAAAAGGGAAGATCCACCTACTCGTGCGGCGATGTCGTGGCGGCACTCTCAAGACAGCAGAAACGCCCGTGTCGTCGTGTTTGTTTACTTCGACTACAGTGGTGCTTTCTAAACGTTTGTGTTTTCGAACATCACCTGGATTTCTTATTTGGAGCATTTCATGCGGGCATTTCATGCCTTTTTGGGAGCATTTCATGCGCGTACCGTATAAAGGATGCGAATTTTCACACGTTTTCATCACCGGAGAAAAGTGATTAGGTTAGCAATCCTGAACGCTCGCAACGTCCATCCGCAACCCGCGAAGCCGTTAAAAGGCTGCGCCAGGCGAAAGTCACTCATTTCTTTCAAAATAAGTGACACACTTGAGAAAGAAGTGTACTAGTCTGGTGAAATAAAGACTTTCCTCAAACTAAGCTTTATTTTTCATCTAATATAAAATACATTGTTTTACAAAGGTAAGTTACCTCATGGCATGTATTTTGGCCTGAAAAATTGATGTTTTGGTTATAGCTCCGTACCGCTTATAGTGTGATTCTTGCGACTCCCGCGACATACGTTATATGCGGTCTACACTGTAGTCATTTCCAGATGCATGTAGCGGAGTGCCCAAAAGAAGTCTTCAACTGGTGCGTTTACCGTTCCGTTCCGCTCATGCATCCAAAGTGGTCCGGAAGTGGCAACAAATTGTTTCGCGGGAGTTGGCGTGTCACGCTGTTACAATCGCGGCGGTTGGTTGCAGAAATGCATGCGAAAAAGATTGCAGGACGCAAAGATCGCAGTCTTCGCTGCTTCGCAACTCGTGTCTGCTTTGATTTCGGTCCCCTGTCTGGCTGCAGAGTGACCTACAGCAGGACAGGCGTCTGCAGCCTCCGCCGCTGTGCCAGTGCCAGGATCGCAGCACGCAAGAGCTTGAATCTCTGACGAAGTCGTCAGGCAAAAATCGAGGGACCACTTCCTTGGCCAGCAGGCGCACCAGTCGGAGACAAGCTACAGGCAGTGCAGTTTCGGGCCAAGAACTTGAGAGACCCACCTTCGAAGCGGGCATAGCCGAGGGCTTCGCCACGGAAGCTCTTGACGTACTTGACGCCGTACACGACGATGGGGCGGCGCAAGACGTGGGCCAGCGTGAAGACGTGCATCTGCTCCAGGGCCGAGCCTGGCTGGGCTGCCAGAGATACCAGGGTGGCCCAGTCCTCCTGCCACTGGGCCTCGTCGAGTGTGAAGTGCAACAGCTTCGCTTGCAGCGCCTCCGCCTCTCGCCACCGAGGGTATAGTCTGCCACAAAAAGGAGAAGGCGCACGTTCCAAGGGCCTTCTTTGGGCCACATTTCTAGCACGGGACACGTACGAGCCATTCCATCTCCCGGGCTCCGCAATTCCTAGGGTACGGCGACGGCCTATTAATCCAGACTTCGGTCACGTGCCTAAACCATTCAGACTACACATTGTCGAATGGAAGCGTCAAAAAAGTCAGATTGTGAACAGTAAAGTTAGTGCAATCAAATGTCAAATTCTCTCAAATAAATAAAAAAATAAAAAGAATTCTGACTGCGGCAGACGGCTGAAATTCTGCAAAGTGATCTAAAAAATTATTACCAACCCGCGGTACTCTCCTCAATTCCGCCACTCTACTTTTGCAGAATCTAGTTCCCGGGAGACATCCCGGGACTCCCAGCGCGGGTCAATTTCAATCTGTACCAAGCGAATGAGCGCAAAGCAGTTTACGTTGCACCATGGCCAACAACTTTTCGACTCTCCTACTTCCACTGGCGGTCGACATACCCTAGCACGGTGCCCCAAAGAATGCGCGGAGGGAGCACTTACACAGCGGCAGCCTCGGAGAGACTGTCCCCCAACACCTGACGGAGGGAGTTGTCTCTGTCGAAGACGCCCCAGGTGGCCTGCAGGGCTGAGTCCAGGAGGCAGTTGCCCGCACTCCGGTTCCACAGTGCATACAGGCGCGAGCCCAGCGTCTCCGTCAGCTCCAGGCTCCAGTTGATGATGGCCGAGTCTTCTTCCAGCTCTGCATTGAGACAGGCCCCCGGCGAGCTTGTGCTTCCTCTCATGCATTGGCTCATCACCTCGACTCAATTAGCGTAAAATCCCGTACAAATGGATTTTGTACGGGGGGAACAAAAACATGTGGTCGAACTTAGCAGGTAAACAAACGCACAAGGTGTGCAAAGAGTGTACGAACATGCACGCCATATATTCACATAATCAGTTTTTGCAATATTTCTTAGCCGCAGAATTGCTAAAAGTTAGGTTCTCGTGAAAATTAAGTCGTTAACAGTACTCTAAAATACAAAACACCCCGACTGGTATGGTACCTGTCCTCCGTTGTTCACAAACTTAGGAACTGGCTGGAATATAAGCTCACTTCACGCTAAACGATCCAGGACTTACGACAACCACTGCAGATTTAGTATAAAGAAATTGTATGTTATTGATGATGTAAAAGTATATTCCTCAATATATTTTGCCTATTAAAATTGTTTTCAATTCTTGGCAGACACTTTGATTTTTGCGGAAAACAGTCCCCAAGGGGTTAAAAGAACTACTCCATAAAATGTTCGAACGAGGCTCAATAGACTGATTTACTAAGCGTTCGGCGCATGTGTGATACCGCCATAACTTTAGTTCACAGAAGGCAGGCAGCAGTGCAAAAGACAGCTGGTGCCGTGTCATGCTCCGCACGTGCAAAGCTCCCGTGAGGTTATCACATGTGCTGAATGACTCAAGTTTCCTCCATACATTGCGGCATAGCGAAACTGGCTGGTGAGATCGGTCTATCATTGCCACATTTAATTATTGAAGTCAAATGTGGGGTCTAAATGCCCAAATAGTTTCCACCACAAAGTTTGAAGAATTCCATTGTAGAATACCACGCATCCGCCCATTCTGCACCAAGCGCCCACCCTCAAAATTTGAAACAACTGAAAAAATATGCGCAGTGCATATATATGTAAAATTGATGACCTCGCATGCACCCATCCCCTATTTTTTCGCGATTATCTTATATTTTGAGTGGGCACTTGCTCGGTAATTTACGGTAGGCATAAAAACTTGTATAGGGTGTCTTTACATGACCTCAATCCGCCATTTTGTTGTTAGATGCTTTTTTTTTTTTTTTTCAAACAAATTTACTAATATGAAGGATTACGTTGCAACCTGTTGAGATGTCAGCGCAGTAAGACTTGTGAGCTTCTGTGCTCTACACATTTAAGGGGTCCTTATATCCTTGGAATGTTTGTCTTCGGTACACGCCAAATAGCTCACAACGACAAAACGGTGGACAAAATTATGTCGGTGAAAACAGTCTATTGATTAGTGTGCTATTAGAGAAGCATATTTTAAGAAAAATTAGAAAAACTAACTACTATGTTGCTGTTTTGCCTGAAAAAAATAGACAATATTGGAAACACTGCCAAAAAGTTAGGAAAACAAATAAAAGATAGTATTGTCTTTTAATTGAGACATTTAGTTTCCATCTTTGCAGCTGAAATGAGCCCCTGCTGGGCACACAGAACAGGATCTGAACCTGGCGTCTGTGGATCCTTAAGCCGACAGCTTGCCTAGGAGTTGAGAACAGATTGCGGAGCGCTCGTTTTCGGTACACGTAGGGACACCCTCTACTACGCCATGATACACAACACCATCTCGAGGCCAGGGGCCTCATTTAGTCGCTAATGAAGCCCGCCACACCCAAAAGCAGCAGGTTGCAACTGACCTTTTTGGACGTCCTGGTCCAGCAGTTCATCAAACAACACTTTTTGCACAGATGGGTGAAACTCTTTGATTTCTGCAACGACAAAGCAACGTCCGTGGCCTGTCAATAATGCTCGAGGCAACATTAACAGAGCTGCAACATTTTCCACAGACAAAACAGCACTGAGATGAATGAAGGGCTACTCAAGACTCAAAGCCCAGCTCTTAGAAACCGTGCTACAAGGTGGCTCTGAAAAGACTGTAAAGTTTTTTTTGGCTTTCATTATAAGTGTGCAATTTCCAATAATGGTGGTGCTGCACAATGTGCATTTGTTTTTTGCCACAGGAGCCAAAATATAGTGAGTAGTGGTTACAAAATTCTGGTGAAAACAATGAGTGCATCGAGACTGAGAAGTTTTTAATTTTTATGTTCCCACATTTTTTTGAAGTCTACAAACAAAACATCTGAGAAAACGAGACTCTACAGGTCATTTGTGAAACGGGGCACACGGTGCATATGCACTTTTCTCATGCAGATGAGATAAAATATCAGGTGTGAGCAAATAAGGCACGCGAGAAAAAGATGATACGAAGAGCCTTCCAAGATAATGAAGCATTTGCACAAGAGGAGAAAAAGGATGTCCTTGTTCTATACTAAAATAATTTTGACGCTTAAACTTGCTGCACCCCGAGCTGAGATTTCGGCCATAGGCAGCAGCCTCCAGGAGTAAGAAAGACATTGCCACCACAGCCAGCGCTACCTTTAACTGCGCCGTGACGTGAGCTGGTTCGCAAAGATATACTACAATGGCCTGAGGAAAGAAAAGCTCTCAAAGTCGAGACATATGCATCAGCATGGCTTCTGAGATGAGTAAAACAAAGCGTTCAGATAAATCGGTCGCGACTGGATTGGAAGACGGCAAGCATGTAACGCAGCAGCATGCACATCTACCAGATTCGTGACTAGTGTGGGTTCACCCACTTCTATGTGCTAAGAGGCCAGTATTCTAAACCTTGTGGTACACCATAGTTTCACAAGTGCCTCATCTCCCTAGCCTCGGTCAATCAGTTGCCTATCCAATCCGACAACCACATCATCTCGGGGCAGATCGAAGGAACACTCCCTGCCGATCAGTCATAAAAATGTACAAATGGGGAGGAAATTTCGCCGGGTCCACCATGACAAACTGCTCCACAGGCAAGCCGCCGCCATCATCCGACCGGCACACAGGTCTATCACGTCTGCTAGCGCTTTTCCAGGAGTTTCCTTTGGGCTCTAAAAGTTACTTATTAATCTTCGTTTTTTGCTATACTGCAAACAGAGATGAATAAGTTAGTTTTAGAGGGCAGAGGAAGCTTCCGAAAGAGCGCGAGCACCACATGATAAATAAGGGCCAGTCATGTGATAAATAAGGGCCACTTTATGGTGGGGCTCGCGGGCGCCAACTACAAATTCGTATAGCGCCGTAAATATAGCTCTAAAACTTTTTTTCTTCGCTGTAAAATCATTTCATGGCATCCTTTTTCCATCTAAGTTGTTTCAAAAAAATGTTTTTTTTCTTTGCACGTGTCCTTTAAATTAATCTCTCAGTGTTTTAGTGTTTGTACACGGTGCCACCTTAGTTGCACATCCGCTCCCGTTTATTTTCAGGCGCAAGCCTGAAAATAAACGGGAGCGGAGTACCGCTTCCTAGAAGGAACCAACGCCGGTGTGCATGGCACATGGTTGACCCACGCACGACGGACCACGTGAGAGCTGGCTTGCTGGCGGTGGAACGCGTTTCCTACAGCCTCCGGTTAAATATTTGGTTTTTTAAGTGGTAGAATCGTCGTGACTCCAACGAAGCCCCCCTACCATGACGCAGCAAAAGTAAGCGTCGGTCACAGCAACATTTTACACATGATCTAGCAGCTATAGCCAGACTTTTGGACAACCCTCGGCACTAACCTCACTGAATCCATACTATAGACCTTTACAAAAAGAGCTCCCTGGCCGCCGCCATTTTGAGACTGTTGCTACCCCATCAGCCCAAAATTTCCGCCACCCGCCTGCGCTGCGGACATTTTTTCAGCGTAACTCTTCACATGCGTTGTGCATTCAGAGTTTGCCGGCCTTTCTCGAAAGACTTTTACTTTATTTGCTCATTCGGGACGCTTATACTTTTCCCGTTATCTTCCACAGTGAAAACCAGGGAATATCGGGGCTCGTAGCCCGCTCGGCCTTTGCGAGGAACAAATAATAAAAGCGAATGTCAAACAGGGGCCACTCAACGTTCTTCAAGGATTATCTCCGCCGAGATAATCTCCGGAAAGCTTTCATGGTCTTCACGAAAAATAGCCGAACAAGTGCGGGGTAGGAGACAAAACAGAGACATCTGTTCCTTCACTTCAGTACTGTGCAAAAAACAAGCTCTCTCGGAACGCGCTTTAAAGGGAGCCCGGATTCCACCCGATCGTCATGAACAGACTGTCGTCAACACTGGAGATCGGATATGTGGCGTTATTTTAGATGTTCCTGAAACAAACCCCGTTCGGTTATGGCGGTACTGTGGGGTACGCACAATATATTGCTAGATCCGATTAAACTTCTTTCATGCTGCGAGCGGGGAATACCCATGTCTCTCGACTATCTCGTGTGGTCAAATATTTTCGACAGTTAATTGTAGGTTGACACGGCCAAGTGTTTGGCGGTGCGAGAAATCTGCGTAACGCATGAAACAAACATTCCGGTTGCGCTTGTTATGTTGTGCACGGACTCGCCAAAAATAGCTTTTATTTGTTTGATTTTGTTCTAAAAAATGGTCCAATGCTTTCTGAAAGGCCTCAAGAAATTCTATTTGCACACAAAAAAAATAAAACGCAACAATTTAGCCGCCACCGGTGTCCAGAATTGCACCTATGCATGCTGCCACAGCCCACCGACGAGAAAACCTACAGCCCAGCGCAGATGTACACACTCAAAACCAGGGATGCACACTGTAAATCGCCCGGTTCGAGACTGCCGCTGGAAAGGTGCATATTAGGACTGGGCCATTCGGTGATTAACCTTCAGATTAGTCCATTCATGTTTTAATCGTGATCAAATTTTGAACAGGTTGATCGGTTGGGTCCTAAGCTTGGGAAAGTCGAGAGAACAAAAAGAAAGTAAAAATGTCCAATTTATAATTTCTTGTGCCTTTTTCGATTCAGAACTCAGGCTTGCACAGTAAACCCGTTCAGCATTGAAAATGTTTAGAATAATTGAATATTAATGTAAACATGTCGCTTTTACAAACGCTTCTCACACTATATTTCGGTGGGTGTCAACGTCAAGTCTCAAATGAAACTGTGAAAAAAGAGTCAAAAGCAAAATCTATATTTTTTTTTTTAAAAATGAGCAGCATTTTAGAAAAGCTTTAGGCATTGTGTGTTTGTGTCAGGCCACAGTGTCACGTGATGCCATCCCAAAGGCATTTTAAATGCAGTGACATAAGTTTTCTGTGACTTTATGCGACACCATGTCATGTGAAAGTCATGATGTCACGCAACGATATCTGATGTCACGTCACCTAGTTATGTGCCGTCAGGTGACAATATGACGTGACATTGTCATGTCAAGTCACGTTGCACCGTTACATTACGTGAGTGGAACTATGACATCATGCGACACCGTGATGTCAGATGGTACCACAACGCCACGCTTTATTGCACAAAAAAAATATACATGTGAAACCTGCACTTCTACAAACTCCCGCAACATTATGGAAGCATCCGACTCGGTATTTCTCACTTTGCTGAATTTCCGCGTTCGTGAAACAATACAACCTTGCACAGAGAAACAAGCATTCAACATAAGTAGCGCAGTTTACCCGGAAACAGGCTTTCATCATCGAAATCCACACTTCTCAACGTGCATTCGCAGCAGACGATGCCGCGCTATTCACACTGGCGGACGCTTAGTACGTCAGCCGCACAGTAGTGACAAGACTCGATCTCGGGGCAAATACATCGTCTTGCCCTACAACAAACTGCAGCCTACCAGGTGCAATCACAAGTCACCTAGAAACCATGTAGTACATATTCCTCAAAAAGGCACGTCGACCTGCACTACTGTTTTCCATAGATTCAGCAGAATAACATTTTCCATCCTAAATTTATCCATGTTTTTGGTTAAACCGTGAAAACTGGAAACTTTCGCCATAGGCTACCATGAGCAGAGAGCCATTTGTGTTGTTGGTGTTCTTTTTCCGACAAAAGAGCCAGAAGATCAAAGCAGCTCAAAAACAGTCCCGACAGTGCAGGTGGGAAGGTGCAGCCGCTCCCCGTGCATCTGGCTCAAAAATAGAAGCGCAACCTTGAGTGGGCTTCCTGGTTCACTTGCTTTTCTGGTTTTGAGGAGGCAACTCTTTTTGCAGCCACTCCTCCTCCTCTTAGCCCCGAGCTTTCTGCACCAACTGACCTTGAACAGGGTTTGCTTTTGAGAGACCGAGGCCACGGGCTCAAAAACATCTACCGTAAAATACTGGGGGAGTACCCACCCCACTTTCACTGGAAACTGGGTTAAGGGGTGACATTGCCCAGAACAAACAATTTCTGCAAAAAAAAGGGGATTTTGAAAAATGGCATATCTACCAACGTCTTGAGCAGGGGTCTCCAAACTTTTTGGCTAAGGGGCCGAATGGAGGCTCTGTCTCTGTCTCGAGGGCCGGAAATATAAATGGGCAGATGGAAATTAGGAAATTCTAAATAAATATTCCTAGATACCTAAGCATTTAAATATACACTATTTAAAGGTAGAGTAAACATAAAACAAAAAGATTCTAAGGTGGATGAATGCATTCACTTTGTTATGAAATTTAATCATTTACCTGCTTATGACATCACACAATAATTGCAGCCCAGAAAACATACCAGCATAAACCAGAGCGCATAGGAACTTTGGCGAGTTCACACAGGGCAGAAGACTAGTGAGAACGATAGAAGTTATGCTGACAGTATCTAATAGCTACGACACAGTACACCAAGCACAATATACATAGGGACGTAAATTAATTTTAACGTACTTAGTTAGATATGGAACAGGGGACTGGGAGTGTGGATTTTGCTAATGACAATGTCCAATTACTAATATGACCAGAGGACACGCCTTACAGTAGGCAGTTCTCTCTCGTTCTTTTCTGGTAATTTCTTTTACGCGGTTGGTGCGCGCCACGGCGCCGTTTTACATGCGCTTATTTTTTCACCAGTAGCAGCGGGCGTGCTGGAAGCGGGCCGTGGGCCAGGCTCCATTGGGAGGACTGCAGCCAGCCACGGGCCGGTCGGAAGACCTCCGCGGGCCGCATTTGGCCCGCGGGCCGGTGTTTGGAGACCCCTGGTCTAGAGTATTCCCGGAAAGTTTCATTAGTTTACACTGCATAGTTAATTTTTTATAAATTATTTTCGGTCCACCGATGCTAAAGAAAAGGTAGAGGTTGGAGCACTTTCAACGCATTTTTAACCATTCCACTTTTTGGCCTAAATTTCACTTTAGGAAAACTATCGTTTTGTTATTAGGTAACTTTGATTCATTTATATGAGTTGTTCTGGGGTGAAATTTTAAGGGGAAAATAGTTATGAGCTTGTATTTTTTATTTTTGTCATTTTTCATGCTCAAGAACTAAAATTTTGAACAAAGGAAGGAAATCTAAAAAACAGTATATTATGTTTATGGGGATTTATTGTCATGAAGGATGGTGTAATATAGAAATATACCTCTATAGCTATCGGCTCTGAACTGTCCTAAAGCGATATAACACATGAAAAAAACAAATTTATGAGTAATTTAAAAACTATAGTTTTCTTACGCTTTCATCTTTGAACCCGAAAGAGTGAATGTTTGAACCACTTGTCTAATTTAAATTACATTTACAGGGCGTGTTTCTGTCAATGTTGAGAACATTTCTGCCAAATGTTGCTAACCTGGGTGAAGTACAAAAAAAATTGCAAGTGTTCAAAGATGAAAGTGGGCATGTCTGCGTAGGAAAACTACTGTTTTGAAATTGCTTATAAATTTGTTGTTGTTATGTGTTATACTGCTTTAGGACAGTTTAGAGCCGATAGCTATGGAGCTATATTTCTATATTATATCATCTTTCATGACAAAAAAGCCACATAAACACAAGTACTGTGTTTTAGATTTCCATCCCTTGTAGAAAATTTTAGTTCTTGAGTATGAAAAATGGCAAAAATAAAAAAATACAAGCTTATAGCTATCTTCCCCTTAACATTTCCCACAGAAAAACTCATAAAAATGAATCCAAGTTACGTAATAACAAAACAATAGTTTTCCTAAAGTGAAATTTATCCCAAAAAGTGGAATGGAGAAAAATGTGTTCAAAGTGCTCCAACCTCCACCTTTTCTTGAGCATTGGAGGACCGAAAATAATATATAAAAAATTAACTATGCAATGTAAACAAATGAAAGTTTCTGGGAATACTCTCTAGATGTTGGTGGATGTAAATAAGACGTTTTTCCAAATCCCTTTAATTTTGCACAATAGAAATACCCTATGTGCACAAGTGTTTGAAAGGAATGCGTGTATGCATTAAAGTAGAAAAAATACATATCAAACCTATTTAAACAAGGAAGTAGGGGTGTGCGAATAGTGGCTCAAATCAAATAGCGCAGCATCATCCCTAGCTTCTGCACTGTTGATAGAACCGGCCGTCTTGGCTTTCTATTGTCAAAGCTATAAATGATGCAGCGCCATTCGATTCAAACCACTATTCGCACAACCCTCAAGAAAGGTGTTCAGATGAGAGGTAGAGTGCAGATGATTTAGAATAAAAGAACGAGATGTACAGGGCATTTTGGAAATGGGTGGCAACGGGATGGGTTCAAATGCAGAAAGCGTTTTGGGAATGCATTGCAACAAGGCAGGTTTAAATGCAAAGGGCATTTTGGGAATGGGTTGTAAAGTCACGGGTTCAAACAGGAATGGGCTGTTTGGGACTGCACCTGCCGCTCCATGCAGCACGGCAAAGCCAAGTGAGACAAGTGCCGGACTCACCAATGGGCAGAGCAAAGGTGACAAACTCGGTGACGAAGTAACAGGAGAAAGGTCCCTTCTTTTGCTTGAAGGAGGCAGTGATGTGGCGCCGGATATCGGCGGCAGTGTCGCGCCCCACGTCCGAGGGGACACGCTTTGCCACGGGGTGCGTCATGACCGGATTGGAGAGCAGCAGAGCCAGAATGTCGTCCCTCTGCACGGGAGAGCACCGTTTGGGGGCCCTCAACTGAGTCAGCCGAGCTTCGTGCAGACCTTCGCGGGGGCAGAGAGGCACCACACTCTACTCGGACGTAAGCTGGGCCTACCAAAGTGCTGCTTAGACACCCGACATTGGAGTCTAATTCCGGCACTTCCCTATTACGCTCAACTAGTCCTTTACATACAAGGCCAAGAAATTGGGAAGACAAGGCTGCTTTCATACATGCAAGCTGCTTTTCAGGAGGGAGCAGCCTATACAAAGGTTCAGCACAGAGGAAACCATGAGAACGTGATAAGCATATGATAATAGATGTAAAACAATAGCCTCACTTTCAAAAGATACCACTGCTAAATAAAGAGCAAGCACTGACCCAGGCAGTTATCAAAAACTCTGAGAAGCAGATGCTTGGACAAGGTGACAAGATTTTTGAGCGCTGGCATGCAGATAAGACTGCTTGAAAGACGCAAAAACTATGTATAGACCAGTGCCTGCTCTGTTCCATCGGTGCCGCCATGTTTGTTTATGCTGACACCATGACACAGTAAGGGGGCTGCACTGCTGGGGGCTAGGATTTCGGATCTTGGTCTATAACAAGCACAAAATTGTTAAGTTAATCATGGCAGGGGTAACAAGAAAATTAGAAATCAAACTATTAAATTTTTTTATCACAAACATCTTTTAGTGCAAGTTTTGTTAAAGGTGGCACGTTCTCTGCAAACCCACTGCCGAGAAAGAGTAACTTATTTTTTCCTCAACACTGCACTTCTTGATCTCAGCTACACAGCTTGTTGAGGTCAGTCCTCTGCTGGGGCATGCTAGATGCCCTTCATTGGTTTGGCACAAGAAAACTTCCAAATTTGACTTTATCCCTACGTCAGCAGCCGAGTGCCACCTGGCAAACCTTCCGAGGCGGGCGTTCATGGCGAGGAGGCCCTACCTCGTGCCGGATGGCCATGTGAGCCAGCGTGAAGCCAGGATCGAAGCTGGCCGTGCGTGCGAGCAGGCCTGCCTCGCCGTGCGTCAGCTGCCGGCCAGGGTCCCCCCCCGAACTCAGGTAACGGCTGATGGGTTCCGGCTCACCGTCCACCACCGCCCGGCAGGCGTTGAGCCAGAGGCGATCCGCCTCCCGTACCTGCCGTCGCAGACTGCACAGGTAGTTGTTGGTAGGGAGGGGCGCCTCTTCCGTTGACAGCTGCAGCTGTGGGGACCACAAGAAATTCAAATATAGAAACCCTGCACATACTCCAGAAAGAGGCCTTGAGCCGAGTCGAAAATGCCTCGTATTGGAGTCACTCTGCTCCGCTCTCTAGAAAGCACCGAATATTAACTATTCAAAATGATAAAGAAGTTATCTTTATTAAACTATAATCAGATCAAATTAGAACCAACTGCCTTTTTCAGTAATTATCTTTTGAAAAATAATCCATACAATTTAAAGGAGACGAGCTACAGAAAGTAAAAAATATGCACAAACTATGGCATACAAAAATTAGATTATCAAATACCATACTTTTAAATGACCACCCTGATCTCATGACCATTATTCAGGGAGGTATGTCTGTGCAAGCTTTAAGGAAAAACATCAATGTCTATCTACTGTTGCTTCAAAAATAACAAGTGTTGTTTTTTCCTTTTCCTTTGCGGGTGGTCTTTTTTGTGCAGCGTTTATCTGCAAGCTTAAAGAATTTTTTTTTTTTTTTTAGAGATGGCTGGCTGGTTTTACTATGTTGCTGTGTGTGGCCCCATTGTTTGCTGTGTTTGTGCAGGCTTAAAAAAATAATGTGTGTTGTTTTTTGCCACGGTTTGGGGGACAATCTGGATTTATTTCTTTGGTTTTTGTCTTTGTAGCGTTTTGTTACTGCTTATGAGTTTTTGTGTTTGATTGGTCATGATCAAGTAGTTTTTGTACTTGTCAGACATTGATTTCGTCTGGGCATGATGAATGGTCTGGCTGTGAAGAGGGGAGGGGCTGTCGCCTTGTCAGGCATATGGATGCCTTTTGTGACGGCCCCCCAGACAACTGCATTCTTCAACGGTTGTCTTAATAAACTTTGACTTTGGCTTTGAAAGTGCTCTCTTTCCAGCTCCATTGCTAATGGCAACGAAGTGCCATGTAGACAACAACAAACAATCCTGCCAGGAGCAGCGATAAACCGGGCAAGTTGAAACTGGCCCGGGCGAATAGGAGAGGGAGCTCCTCTCAACCGTGTTTCTTGCAAGTGAAACAGTGAAACCTTAGTTTTTTAACATGGTCTGTCTGAAAACTTTCCTAGTAACCCTTATAAATAAGCACCCTTCGAGTCCTATAGTGAGAAATAAAAAAAGGACGAGGGGCAAAAATCTTTTTTTTCACTTCCCTCCAACTGCGGTATAGTTTCTAGTGGCCTGCCATCTGTCTTAAAGCGGCATGGACACCCCAAAAGTTCCATTTTTTTTTTATTGTCTAAAACGATGCAAATTGTAGTCATAGACACAAAAAAAATACCGCAATGCAAAAAAAAATTTTCTACGCGCGCACTCTTTTTTATTTTTGGCGCTTTTCTCTCCTGCTCCCTCACCTCCTCGCTTCTTTTCATTTGTGACGTCAAATATCATGAAACACAGAAGCATTGTAGGCGACATTTCTATGACATTTAATAACAGCAATCATTAAAGGGACAATGAAGGCAATTTCGGAGATCTTTTTGGCGATTGAACTGGGTTCCAGGCACGTCTCAGGCTACGTTGCCCAAATTTCAGCCGAAACCGGCGCTTGTGTGCCGCGCAAATCAATTAAACAGTCGCGGAAATAATCATACCGAGATCGACTGGGGCGACGCCCCAAGAGTTGCGGGAGAAACCAGGAGAAGCGGAGCTCACGTGACCGATGCGGGGCCAAGGAGCGCGATGTCACAAGAGACGCATCAGCGATTGGTCGAAACGAGAAACGTGCCCTCGGTCACGTTTTGGTTCGCTTCCGCTTGAATAACCATCAAAAGTATAAATCGGATCGGAAATGATTACTAAACCGTAAATAAAGCAGCATCATTTTTTTTTCTTTGCTACGCTGGCAGTGAAACCGGCAACTAGCAACTATGGGCCAACAAAATAAAATTAAAAAAAGAACACGGTACTCGAAAGATTTTGCAAAATGGTAGCTGTAGATGGCTGTTCTAACGGTCGACTGAAGACCAGTATTCGTTCGGGTGACGCTAGTTTTCACGTGTGGGTTGCCATTCGTGTTCTTTGACGACGAAAAGAGGAAGTCCGCGGAAGAACCGGATCCCGGAACGGCGGGATCACTGCCGCTTTCCCTTCGGCATCTCCCCCGCGTCCGTCCTTCGGCATGCGGGCCGCTCGTTGCCGGCTGGGCTGTCTCCGTCGGGTGATGGCAGAGGCCGCCACACACATACTCCCGTTCCGTTGGTGTTCGGTCACTGAACGGAAGCTCGAACTTGCTCGCGAGAGCGGCATTCGTCCATGTGGTCCATGTTGACAGAGTCGGCGCAACGACCGTGCCACCGCGCTGCTATAACCCACCGCGGTAACCAGAGTCTCGATCTCCTAAATACTACCGATACCGACTATTCACACTCGACGTCACTCCTACGTCACCTCCGTTTTCGGAGGCCCAGAAACGAGACTGGAGATGGTTCAGTTTCGGTTTCTTTACTTCTTTCGTAGGCACATAAATACGCGTCATAAATGTCTACAAAAAATTGGGCGGCATGCTATGTTCCCAACAAGCATTAAAACACCATTAAAAAAAATTAAATAAGATTGTCTTCATTGTCCCTTTAAGCATGTTTTGTAATGCAATTGCAAACGCACTACGGCCCTTCTTTTTGAAATACCAAAAATCAAAGTATGGTATGATGTCGCCTCCTGGATTTTTATCCTCCCTCGGAAAACATGGCAGCGCTTGACGCATGTAGCAGAGGATGATCGGTGAGTCGGACAAAGTGGTCTTTCTTAGGTGTCCGACGACCTGTCAGACTTCAAAAAGGAAATCGTCAAACGGTCAAAACAACAGGGTTCGGTGTCTGTGTATCATAGTTTCAGTTGCGATTCCGCCAGGGCCGCCTTTCAAGCAGAACCGGCGTGACGCCAAGTGTCGTCTGCTCGCAGCGATAGGCGGCATACCATGCACGGAGAAAACCGGATGTTCCCGGTATGCCAGCGAGACGACACTTCGGGTCACAACGGAGATGGCGGTTCGGAGCAGAGGCATGAAAGAAACTCGACTCAATACTTGACAATGACGTCAAGTATTGAGTCGAGTTTCTTTTGAGGACATTACCCTCAAAATTCAAAACTTGGGAATTCAGTATTTGGGAACTAAAAAAATGATTTTCAAATGTGGAATTTGAAGTTCCCGCGTGATCCACGCCAGGTGCGTCATTGCACCTGGCGTGGATCACGCGGGAACTTCAAATTCCGCATTTAAAAATCATTTTTTTAGTTCCCAAATACTGAATTCCCAAGTTTTGAATTTTGAGGGTAATGTCCAGGCATCGTTTCAATCAGTTTGAATAATTAAAAAAAAAAAAAAAAAAAAAAAACTTTGACATGTCAGTGTTCCTTTTAAGCAAATTGCCACGATTCACTTTTCACTTTAAGTCGGCGCTTGCTCGGCATCCCACGGCATAGCCCACTTGCCTCGATATCGGCAGCTGCACCGTACTGGGGTGCTGGACGGCGGTAACTTCCCCCGGTGCAGATGGAAGGTATGCCCGAAGAGTAATGCCACTGATCCTCCGACTCTGGTGTGCGGCCTCCAACCGGGGAGTCGGCTTTGAGGCGAGCAGCACTGCACATCACACACTACAGGAAAAAAAACATTCCTTTTTACTTTGGCTCACTGGTTCTGAGAACAGACGCCTCACACGCCTAAAACGTGCAACAAGAATTGGCCTTGGCTTGTGACCACTTTTCTTTCTTTTTTTTTTTTTTTGGCAAAAAGTGCATATCTGAGGCATGCATCCGTTTTCCTTCTCGACTCCTCTCCCAACGATGAGGCCACGCCACTGAGTGAAACGAACTAGGAAAGTGTTATCTCTGGCCAAGGGATAATCTGTTTAGCCTGACCTACTGGAAGTTAAAAAAAAAAAAAGTAATAATAATAATAAAAAAAAAGTGCAGAAATAGCTGTTTTGGCACCCAAGGACAGGATTCAGTGTGTCCTAACGAGATCACTGCAAGCAGTTGAGAGCAGTCATCTGGTTCCTCACAGCCAGCTTCCGTTTCACAGTCCCTTTCAAAGCACTTTCCTTTCTTGTTTTCATTTTACGGAGGTTTCAAAGCACTGTATGATTTTTAAGCACAAAAGGCCCAATAACCTACAGATTTTTTAAGGGTACCATATTTTCTGACTGTAAGTCACACCCCCTATTGGCGACAAGATGTTTTGGTTAGTGATGGGCCGAACTTTTGCTGGATCTTGGGATTTGGCACAGCCAAACTTTTGCCGAACTTTAGTTCTAAAGATTCGGCAAAGATACATTGTTACCAGACTTAAATTGATATTTAGCTTTTTCTCGTGAAAAAAGGTGTTACTTTTTATTTCTTCTTAACTTAAATGCAACATGTAATGCATATTGACACAGTTATTATAAAATGAGCCGATATTCTACAAGATAATTAATTGTATCTGTGCCATTTTCGTGTGTTTACTGGCAATTTTAGTGACTGCTTGCAGACGTGGTGTGAAAATCACGAATCACGCTACGAAAGTTTCGGTTTTGAGGCCTCATCAGTGCAAGCCTGCAAGTGTGTGTACCAGTGGTGTGTACATTGTTAAAATAAAAACAATCTTGCTTTCTCTGGGAGTCACCGTTTCATGCGGAAAAACGAATGCAACAGTTGCTGAGCCTTCACCAGAAGAGATAACAATATTATTGTAAATATGCATGTTCTTCGATTTGAGTCGCTTGACGTCAGCGTTGCACGAAAGTGTGCGTCCCATATTCGCAACATCTCGTTTTTAACCTTTAAAATGCCGGTTTCTGGTGTTAGGAAACACACAGACGTTTAGGAAGGTGGCGAGAGTTAGAAATGTCGGATGTGCAACGTCGAGCATTATAGTTCTGTTTCGCTTTATACAGATACATGAATTTCGCGAAATAACGCTAATTGAAAAAGCAATATTTTGTTTTGCTTCTGACACTACTTCCGAGCCGAAAACAGGATTGTTATAATAGCAAGGAGTGCTTTAAAGTAATTGTCCGTCAATGTTTTAACTACCTCGTTGCATCACTGAAAAGGCAAATGAAAATCATGTGAGCCAGAATGTACCGCATCATTTGTCATTTATGTTGTGGACTGCGCGAGGCAGAAAATATTGAAGAGAACCACACTCGTTCGCAAACGCACAGTTATTGTGTCGCCTACTCCACACCTCACCATAACTGCTGGTTGTACTACACTGCACGATGGTAACCGCACGACAGCACGGCGTCAATTTGTAATCCATGGCCCCGTCGCGTTCTCGCGCGTGCGCAGACATTTGCCGAATCTTTGCCGAACTTTCCTTCAAAAGTTTGGCATTTGCCGAACTTTGCCGAATCTGAAGATCGGCAGATTCGGTCCATTACTAGTTTTGGTGGCAACCTTTTATGCTTCCTATCCATGATGTCACTACTAAGACTATTAGTAGTCAGTGACAAGTTTGATGGTGCTTAAAAAGAGCTGTGGAAACCTAGTCACCATGCTCCTAAATCAATACTGGCAGAGTTGAGAGTCTTGTCTTTGCTCTTATTTCCATCGATGAGAGAAGAAATAATCCTACCCAAGGCGTCATAGTGAGCAATTGGCCAATCGTGGAAGGCCGATCAAAGCGACGCTTTTGGTCGCACAAGTCGCCAATAATTGGCCGTTTTAGCACTTTGGCAGGTGCTCCAGTGCTCTTCCTTTAAATGTTGATACAACCTACACCTTGGGCCATTAAGATTCATACTTATATAAAAAAGACATAAAAGTTGTACCGCTATACAAGATGCACTGACAGAAATTTTTGAAAAAAAAAAAAAAAAGTCGGGGCTCCAATTTACGCTGTGAAGCTGGTTGGCAAGTGAAGCTGTGGCAACCACCTGCAACGATTGCTCACAGCACTATACCAAATGACTGACGAAAGAACAGTGAAGGCACTATAGCGAAACTTTCTATATACAGGATGTTTCATATAAGAGTGACAAAAATTCCTACAATTAGAGTATCCTAGGTAAAAAAAAATAATTTTCTCAGGACCGCATTACATGCGGAAAATGCATGCTACTTACTTATTAGTTTGCTAATAAATTGAAATGAGTAATTAACTTTTAGTTAGTGAAATAGACATATGGTTCCCATTAGAAACTTCTTGAGGTCATCAAAAACCCCTAAATCAGTAATTTCCCCAAACACTTCGAGCGCATGAGAAGCTTAGTGCATAAAAGTTACCACTCGTGGAGCAGGCACAAGACTGACGACTGCGGTAAGGCGCCCGCACGATTTTTCCGTCTCTTATGAGAGCCCCAGCCTTGTACCTGCTCCACGAGTGGTAACTATAGCGCACTGCTATGCTTCTCACGCGCTCAAGGTCTTTCTTAAAATTATTGATTTAGTGGTTTTCGATGATGCTCAGCAAATTTCTAAATGAAACCATGTCTATTTTCACCAATTACAAAGTTAATTAACAAATTTTTAATAATTAGCCGACTGATCGACTATGTCCCCCTGGCCGTATAACTCACCCGAACAAGCCGCATAAGTGTAGGTTTCACAGCTTTTTTTTTTTTTTTTTTAAACAAAAAAATAAAAAAAATAAAAAATCCTGTATATGTGGTCTTGAGAAAATTATCCTTTAACCTAAAATACACTAATTTTAGGAATTTTTCTTTTTGTCACTCTAAAGGCCCGTTAACTCTCTTGCGACCGAGTAAAACCGAGAGAGACCAGACCGTTTTTTAAGCCTATCGCGACGTCTTAGGAACTGCTCCGCTGCAGCGCATCCGGTCCCAAGACGCCGCAAGAGGCTTAAAAAGCAGACTGGTCTCTCTTGGTCTTACTCGGGCGCATATATGTGAATGGTGCTTTACGTGAAACATCCTGTATGAAAGGCTAGTGACGTCACTCCCTACGTCGCAAAAAGCTGTCACTGTGGCAGCTTGCGCAACAGTAATCTTTACCAGGAAACGTATGCGGTTAGCGCTACGTGCGCATTTTTATTAGGAGCGCCTTATCAATTATGTGGTTCGAATGCTTGTTTTGTGCTTGTTCTTTGTTGAAACGAATGCTGTGCTGTATGCTGTACGCGTGATATGCACTTTTCGCTTCAATCGCTGAAGGGATTTTGTCCGCCTACACGCAAAAATCTGACCAACAAGTCATTTACAGCTTTGCTGTAAGAAAAAAAGGGAATAATAGACTGGAAAATATGTTATGCAATGAGTAAAATAGGGAAAGTCAATTTAAACAACAAGAGGCTCGCACCTTCCGTGACTTGGGCCAGTTTTCGTACGTGCAAGCATGGCACGTCCATTTCGAGCGCGAGTCGCCGCTGCTGTGCGCCGTCTCTGCGGAGGTGGTCGCCTGCGGTGAAGGGGCTGGGGGGCTGCTGGGGACTCCCGGGGAATTCCAGTTCCCCTGGGAGGGACCCCTGGGATTCAGACACTGAGTGCACTTGATCGATTGGGGCCAGTTAAGGTAAGTGCACTTGCTGCACGCCCACTTGTGGTACGGGTTGGGCGGCGGCTCTTGGACCAGAGGAGAGATCTGCGCCAAGGCAAAGGACGACAGCCAGCTTTCAGTTCTCGCCCCAGTTCCACCGGTTGCACATGACGTTGAATAAAAAAAAGGGTACAGCATGCGAATACACCCAACAAATTCTCAAACACTCGTTTAAATGTGCATACTCTTGCGTTGATAAAAACTGAGACAGAAGTGCACTGCAGACCACCTGGTAGGTATGGCTGGGCCTGACACAACGTCATTCTGTTATTTCGTAGGACACATTTTTGCGCCGCTGCTCGTTCTCTCTGGAGATTGACGAGGCTGAAGGCATTAAAGGGAATACTGCGGAAGGCCAGTGGCTCCATATTTGTTTGTTTTTTTTCAAAATAAACCTTATTCTTATAGGTGACTGCATGAGCCAGAAAGCTCGCAGTCTCGATTTTAGTCAGGATGGTAATTCTATGTGAAATAAACATAGTAACATCTACAATGTCAGTACGACTTTCTATTCAACCGACTACACTCAAACACCCCAATTTGCTCGCTAACCACCAGAACCAAGGTAACAATCCTCAGCTGCAAACTGCAAGTCAGAAGGCGGAAAGTAGGATTTCAATACGAGTAGAAGGTACATGGAGCAAACCCTTAACAGGTGGTACCAAGGCATTGAAAAATTAAAAAAAATCAAGGGACAACACAAACTAGCTGCAATTGAGACTCATTTTTGTATCGCAGGTCTTTACCGTCATCTTTTTTTTCCTGAACCGAATTCACTCCGTTTAACTTCCAAAAATGGCTTGGGGACAGACATAAGAGCAAGACATCCAACGGGACCTTGTAGATGTCGCGTTCTTCGCTCGAGGCCTCCTCTTCGATGAGTGTTGGCCTGGGCTTTTGGCAGATGGTGCATCGCAGAGCCTTAGGCCAGTTCTCGTAGGTGCAGTGCTGGCAGCTCCACTTGCAGCCCTGGCGACTCATGTCGTCCTCAGCTCCAAACTTGCTCCTCCTTCCCAGCTTTCCACCAGCATCGGTCGGCTGGCCTTTGCTGGCCTGCGGACCAGGATGGACAACCTTGTGAACCTTCAAAGAACAGTGAGAGGGCAGACGAGCTTGAAGAAGTTTAACATGACGGTAAATACGGTAAATGACCCGAGACTGCACCAAGTTGGAAACATTTACAAGATTGGATTGGATTCTTTGGCTTCCCCTTTGTATCGGGTGATCACAGAAACTTTGGATTCTGGATCTCAGTGGTGCCTCTGCCACAATTTTCGGGAAAGAATCACCTGGAAAGCTCAGTGACGCCAGCTGATGTTTCACTACAATGCTTAGCTCTGTTGGAACTGGGTGGTTTTGTTCAAGCTGCATTGAAGACATTTAGAGTATTCTTTTTCTCCCTCTCTCTCTCTCCTCTTCCTTCCTTCCTTCCTCCCTCCCTCTCTTTCTCTTCCTCCCCTCCCTCCTTCCCTTCCTTCCCCTCCCTCCCCTCCTCTCTCACTCTCTCCCCCAACTTTTCAAATCCTGCTGCTTCACATTTGAAATTTCGTGTAAAGTGAGCAGTTACAAGCGCCAGTCAATGTTTCGTAAGGACAGGAGATTAGACATCGGTGAATTTTCCCGAACCGGGAGGGGTTGAGCTGGAGCTGCACATTTCGACTGTCAGACTTTGAGAGACGTCCGAGACTTGAGGTGTTCCCCATGGAACAACTGCTACGTGGGTGAGAGGAAGTGCCTTGTTACGTGGAGGTCAGACTGGCGAGGTTCCCCCCTTTGGTTCTAAAGAATGCCCCAATGTAAATTACCCTGCAGAGCTCCCCGGAGTTAGAAAGGGAAATGCTGTGGCCAAATGGACTCGATTTGAAGATTGTGATCTGCGGTGGGGCAATAGCAGAACAATCTTTGCACTTGGTTTTCCAATACAGACATTTTTACCGTCTGAATTTTTACCTCGGTGCAATCATTATGTTCCCCTCATGAAACACACTGGCCCTTTCTTCTGGAGGGCCAGAACGCATGGTGATCTTGCTTTAGAGGGGAGGTTTAAGCATTGCTACGAACCTGGCTTTCGACTACGAGGCCTTTCCATTCTCTGTTCTAGATTAGACGCTTATTATGCTGTTGTGTCGTAACAGTGACGAGGATGTGATATAAAGCAGCCCATGCCATCTGTACAAAACAAAATAGCCCGACACATACCCTATGTCACTTCTTAAGTGCTTTCATTGGCGTTTTATTTCCTTAGGCGGAACACGCAAGCTGCAAACTTGAGTGGCAATCGAAGACATGCATCATTCATACACCCTTGGCAGAATACGATTTTCATAATAGGTTTTTGTTGTGTTCCTGGGAGGTTTAAGAGGTGCACTTGTGTAAGCTGCACGGTCGGCTGACTTCAACGAAAACAACAGGGCCCTCTCCCAAAGTCGCGAAACTACAAGGATATATATAGATATTTCGGCCGCTCCAAAACTAAAACAAGGGGAAAAAAAAAAAAAAAAAAAGTTGGCTGCAACTACAGCAGTGCCCCCATAGTAGGAAGCGTATGGAGACCTTTATATCAAAGTAAGCAGCACTAAGAGGTGGAACGAAACGCACGTATTATCAAAATTGACACTCACCCCTTTTAGGTGATACTTGTTTCCCTAAAATGTAAATTTGGATTCGTCATAGCAGAAGCGTTAGGCCTACGAAGCAATTTCCCAAAGCTTCGCCAAGCATCGCGCTTACTCCTGGCAGATTATTAATCGATTGCAGCTTCAACAATCGCCGAACACTTTGGCGAAGGCTAAAACTTGGTAAGCACCAACTTTGTCACGACATTAGACGGGCGAATATTCGATGAGCGCGCGACCACGAATCAGATAAAAAGTCCTCATCACACCGACTGCGCGACCACCTCCATCACCTCCATGTTTGTTTTGGCTACAAATGGCCTTTTGGCTGACCTTGCTAGCCTTGCTATGGGCTATAAACTCTAATTTCGAAGGTTCCCATTTTTAAACATAAGAATAAGTCGTATATTGTTTTTAATAACAAGATATTTAAATTATAAATGATTAATCACGCACGAAATTAAAAGTACCTCTTTGCTTCATATTCCTCTCCCTAGAGAGCGCGCCGGCTGCATGACCCTTATAACTGCGCTGTCTCTGTCTTGTCGGCGTTTTCTTCGTCCTAGCTGGTAAGTGAGCATTTTTGCGCACCAAATTAAGGAGAAAAACGGACAACCCTTATTATTACATAGCGAGAATAACACGTGGACTTATTATGTACTGTACACCGCAAAAAGGCGACGAAAGGACCCCTCGGGGGTGTGCGCATAGGCATCCCACGCGCAAGCTCGCCGAAATTCCGCGTGAAATATGGTTTTGCACTCATCAGTGAGATTCCGCTTCGTAAAGTGCCTACAGATCATTATCGCATAGGTGTATGTGTGCTCTACGCATAAGTGACCCCGCGGACCCCGCCTCGGCGATGGACCTCAAGATAGGCGGCCGGTTTGACCACGCCGCGTAGTTGTGCATTTTTGCGTTCCGCTTGGCTGGGGTCCTTGGCCCCTCGCCCGAAACACGTCGGAAATGATAAGAAAGCGTCGCCTTGACTTTCCACAGCCATCGCAGACTGTGCGGCCCATCACAAAAGTCGGCTGCGGTTGTTTCGTCGCGCTTTCAGTTGGGCTTAGGGCCAGCTAGGCACTTGTTTCTCGAAAGCGGGTCGGGGAGTACGATGATGATGATAGCTACGCCACTTGTGGTTTATATACTGCTGTTTTTCAGCGTGCGCTTTCAGAGCTGCGCCGCAAAGTCGAAGATGGAGGCCCATCAAGTTGTGCCGGACGTTATTGACACAGTCCCACCCGGCGTTGTCCAGGTAAGTTGATATGCTGTCAATCAAAATCGTCGATGGCACTTGATGGGGCATTGTTGCCTTTCTCTCCGGGCTGCGTGCTTGCAGAGAAAGGTGGGAGGGGTCAAGGCGTTTCGAACCAGTGACTGTCGGTGAAATTCCTCATAAGGGGACAGCGTAGAAAACAAAATATATTTATTAAAAAAAAAAAGCATTTAAATTAGCTTGTTTGGTTTGTATGTTTATTAATTCAATGCGTTAATTGAACTCGGGAGAGTAAATCTGGAATTGCAAGATAGTAAATTTCCCACAATTCTGCAACACAGCAGAGTTCTTAACCCTCCCCCTTAAAGAGGTACAAACTTGAAATATTCCTGAAACACTTAGAAAGGGGTGAAATATGATCCATGATATTTGTAAATGATAATAACACGCTTGTAATTTCAGTGGATGGCTTTAGTTTTCGTTCCTACGTGCAGATTTTGTGAGTACTTCGAAATCTGCCATCAAGGCGGTGCGATGCGTCTTCAAGATATAGCCCGTGACGTCGCGCACAACGTCGCAAACCCATAAACGGCACAGGGACCGTAATTACGATAGTTGTCACTAGGTGGCTCCAGCTTTATTGTTGATGCGTTACAATCCCGCCAAGTGCGAATATCCGAGGTATGGTGTACTAGAACTGAAAAGTGCCAAGCGCCGCTCGTTCCCGGGCGCCTCCTTGGGACACTACTGCGCTGCAACGCTGCTACTGATGGGTCCACGGCGTCAGACAATTCAATAAAGCTCGACCCCCCCCCCCCCCCCCCCCCCTCCCTCCCTCCCTCCCTCCCCAACTACCAGGTGGTATTGGGAATTCATTTTAAAATTTCTTATTTTGCATTTACAAATATCTGGGGTTTCTAAGCTGCTGTCTTAAAAGAGGTCTACACAAAGAAATAGGTGCTAAAATTTCGCTTCTGTACTCCCTTTAATTTGTAGCCTCTCTGTCTGGAAACAAAAAGAAGCAAAAGCAAAAAAAAAAAAAAAAATTAAAATTAAACGTTAACCGAAAACCACCTAGGCCGGTTTTCTCGAAGCGATGGTAAACCCATTTTGGTAAACAACGGTGCCTTGGAAGGAAAAAAGTACCTAGGTACTGTAATAAACGGCTGGATATAGAACAACAATAATTATTTTTGATTGGGCAGTAAGATGTGCCATCTATCGGTGAAACAAGCCAGTCATTTTGTTTATCCTCTTTTTCTGCTGGTTGTTATCGATCTAGTATGGTATTATAAGTCAAAATATAGTAATGTTGTACTTGAAGACCAATTTATTTGCTTCAGATGGTAAGAAGTTTTAGCTACTATGCTAGAGTTTGTCGACGGATATTCGAAAATGTAAGAAACATTTCCTTCAATATCTTTCGCCATAAACAACGCATAACTTTCCCGTGTGCCTTCCAGTCTGGCATCGCCGGTGCTGTATTCTCGTTTTTGTTCCTTGCGACGCGCGTTTCTGCGATTCCTGCTGATCTCAACTGTTTGTCTTCTCTTCCGTTTGCCCAACCGATCCATCGGTGACAAGAAGTAACCGGTGACGAGAAGCTAAGCTTCTCGTCACCGTTGAATTGCTGGTTACCATTGAATTGCTGGCCACCGGGGATATGTAGAAACCTCTATGCTGTCGGCATACTGTCGGCGCACTGCGAACAAAAAAACAGTACAATGTCCCAGAATGAAGACTTTATCAAGGATAATCCCCTTCCTCCGCAAAGTAATCGCTGCTCACGAGTCGGCGTGCATAGTGTAACAAATTAAACGTGTTAGTAAAAATATATACCAACACTCGTTCGCAAAACATTTTTTTTACTTACCATAAAAACACTTGCAAGGCTTATCTACTGTCATGTCTTGGATTCTGAACTGCTGAAGAGTGATGCATTCGCGGAATGCTGCCGTCGGTTTGTATAGTAGTCCCTCTGAACTACCGCTTTGCTTGACGTGCTAATAGGTTGATGGTGCGTCATTAATATAACAGTCGGATCGAAATTAATGTTCAGCAGAACCAAGCAGAAAGAACTATTAGCCCTCATTAAGCGACCTCGCAGCCATTTTGCTTGTAGGTACTGCTCCTCCCTCGGCGCCCCTGCTCTCCCATTCACGTGACCTAGAATTCCCCTTCTAGGGACAATAGTTAACTTTAGACCACGGTTCGCGTTCGAGAAAACGGGCCCTGGTGGATGTCTGCGAGACTTCGATGGAGTGTTGTGATGGCATCTGTTCAGTAAACGCAGTGCCACAATCTGAAATATACTCGCTTTCATGGAGATTACTTGGGCCTGAACGCAGTACCAAGGCGCTTTAGTGAAGAAAATTGCAGCATAGTTGGCCACCATTGGTTTCAGTTTCAAGCGGCCTTTCAGGCAACGCTTGTTTGGGGTGGTTTGGGGATTGTCCGTGCGACGGAACGTCTCCGCTACGAAGCAGAGTAGGCAGCTCTGCCGGCTCTTGAATACCCCTTTGATATGCTACAGTCCTTAGGTACTTAACTGAGCAAGATTGCAACACATTGATGCCTTCAAGGGGCAAAGTTCATAACTGTGGTACGCTTGGCCCTACGTGACACGCTGATGTCACGGGCTCGCTGGATCTCCCAAGATGTGTCGCACTCTTCTATGACTGATTTTGAAGCAGTCGCCAAACTCCCTGCATTTTGAACGAAAAATATAGCCATCCGCTCAAAGTACAAGCATGTGACTATTATTTACAGGTTCAGCTGATCCGACTTGACTTGTTTCTTGATGTTTTTTTTATATATTTTAAGTTTCGATTCAGTATCCCTTTTAAAGTCCCAGAAAGTTTCAGGAAAAGCGTAATGTTGGTTTGATTTCTGGTCCCATTCTTGAAGGGGCAAATAAAAAGACCCACCCTGGGCAATGCATCCTAATGGCTTGCCTTCGCTGTCAGGTTAGCTATGACACGGTGGTGGTTGACATGGGGAACACTCTCACGCCAACGCAAGTGCAACGCCAACCAAATGTCTCGTACCCTGCTGATCCCAACAGACTCTACACGCTGTGCATGACTGGTATGTATTCTTGCTTCATTTTGTAGTTGAAATCACTAGGCTCATTCGCTTTACCTGCACTGTGTGCACTACCTCATTTGATTGACGAGCACTACCATTTAAAACGCATACGCTTTCCTGAAGAAAAAAGTTTGGGGTGTCTGCTGAGAAAAGCGAACAGTGTTTTTCACGTCATCGAACATTCTGGCGGTTGGAAGAAAATGGCAGAGTGTCAGAACTTAACACTGACCAATTAAAAATTTAGAGGTGATTTGCAGGAAGTTTAAATGGAAAAATTGGCATTCATTCTTAGCAGCAGATGCTAATAGCCACCATGTGTTTGCAGGCTCTGCTAGCCACCATTTACTAAAAAAAGTTGCTTTTAAGTTTTGAATCAGATAACATTAAAGTACAAAATTTTGGCATCCTATTCCAGTTAATGAGAACTACATGCCAAGTCTAAACTAGTAGCTATGCAGTTTAGTTTTGCGGTGTAAAAAACCTGATTAGCTTCTCTGGCTGAGACACCCAGAGAAGCTTAGCATGTACCTCGCAGTAGTAGGGGGGGGGCAGTATGGACATAGCTGGTGGGGAGTTTGATAAAGTGATAGAAAACAAGAGATATAGAGCAAGCCTTCCTTTGAGGGTTTACTTCCGTGTGCAAGGACTTGCAAAACAGGGCTCTTCCCTGTATTCAAACGTAGTTAAGGTGGACATAATCCATGTTTCTAGGAATGGGCAGGAATATAAGGACATCTATGAAATTAATTAAATACCATATTTTGACTGCTTTGTTTCAATACCATGTGCTGCTTAGCTTTTTTATCCGGTATGGACGTACAAGGCTTTTTTTTTTTCTTGTGTGTAAACCAAATATTCTGGTTTTGTTTATGGGTCTAAAACCTAGCTTAATTGCCAGTATTGTTTCAGATGCCATCATGCAATATTGTTTGATGGCACAGGAGTCGCTGGCATCGGAGCAGTTGACAGCAAACAAAACTGCTTTACTACTATCATTCTCAACTACCATTCTCATATACGTGGCTTGCACATGACGTCATTTCCCATGCCTTGGAACTCCCCTCTTATCAGAATCCTCCTTTGTGCCTCCCGGATAAGCACAGACGTCGCTGTTCTCCTCCTAGAAGATTATAGAAGATTAACCTGTCACTCAAAATTCTTACAAAAGCAGCTTCCCTCTCCTCCTTTTACATGGTGTTCAAAAGTGTGCAATGTGACGGCAGTGCAAGGAGCCTATAGGTGACGAGTTCAAATTCAGCTTTCCTCTTGTTACATTATATTTTTATCTTAATTGGTTTGCTGATGGCAAGTTGTGTGAACAATAATTTGTGATTATGTCACAAATATACACGCGCAGTCGAGGTGCACAAGACGCCGAAGAGTTGATGAAGGTGAGAAGCTAGTGCTGGAGGTGGGAAGCTCCTCTGTTTTCACCTTCTCAGTGACTATAGTCTATTTCAGTGAGCCCTCTGAGTAAGGTTGAAGAAAGAGAAAAGGTGGATACCATAGCAGCACCCTGAGTACATATGGGGCTACTCATTAACACCTCCAGTCTTGTAGCAGACTCCTGGCCTTGTTTTGTTTTTTAAGCATGCATAGCACTAGCCTATTAAATGGTTCCTTCTAGAACAAATCTAAATTGCTCAAAAGTAGCTGAAATTATCTTTGGGATTGCATAGCCTTCTTTTGAAGCCCTGCAGGCCTCAAACAATTTCAACAAATACTCTTCAAAAGGAAGCACATGTGGCCTCTTTTCTGACGGTTAAGTTACCCATAAAATGGGGGCATGCGTGCAATGGGTAGGCATATAATCCCAGTTGAACTTTTGTTGTTGTAGGTATTTTCACTGTGGGCCATCTGGAACAAGTGGGTTGTAGCAGTACTGCACGAGGCAGATGACCATCTGTGTCAGCAGCGAGACAATTGCTGTGCCCTGGCAAACAAATTAAATAATGCTGCATCATTGGTGCTGCTGATTAAGTTTAACGTAATTGGAGTTATTTGAACATATCCATGCTATAGGTTGGGTTCTGCATTTTCAGTAAATACCGATAAATGCCGGGGTTTCTTGGAATCTGGGAAGACTGAAAAACCCAGATTTGAAGCTGCCCTTAAAGGGGCGGTGCAACGATTTTATGATTAAAACAATTTGCATCTCGTCATTTTTACGTTGTTTATCGTGTCCCAGAGGATAGAGAAAACACTTCCTTCATTACAAATGTCGCGATTCCGCTGCATAATCGCAAAGCAAAAGCCGAGATTTTTGCCCCACCTGCAGCCCCAAGTGGCAGCCGAAGGAACTACGGCGGAAAGATTACGTGACCTCGCTCGGCTCTAAGCTGCAGCCTAACGCCCGCTAATGTACGCGGAGAGAGGGAGGGGAAGCGTCCTCCGAGATAGCACGCGGGAAGCTACACGGCACTCCGAATGACGTCACTGGGAGTGCGACCAGGTGTGACCCTGAAGACTGGGAGTGAGTTGAGGGGTGCCCGAAATGCCAATCTTTATGTTTTTTTTACGCAACAACTAGGACACGCAGGCGAAATCGGTTTTCTGTTCTTTACTTCAGAAGTGTCAGGGGGCAACTTCCAGAAATCTTTGACCGAAGTCCGAAAATCGTTGCACCGCCCCTTCAACCCGTTAAGTGCCCCCCCCCCCCCCCCCCCCCCTTTTCTTTTTTTAGAAACTAACCTAAAAGTGCCATATTTTTTTATTTCATTTAGAAGTTTCATTCCTCTAGTAATAGATAAAGTTTCGAAGGTTTATTACGCAAAAAATTTCCGGCGGCGAAAAAACAAATGCTTCAACTAAAACGAGTGCTGCCGTCTATGATCAACGCCGCAAACTACTTCGACGAGCCTTAGTCCATGGAATTGAGGGCTATCGAAAAAACCACTGGACGACCTGAGCTCGTCCATGGCATTTTTTAGCCAAAACGTGGCCGACGAGCTCGGCTCGTCCCAATGCACCTAAAGGGTTAAATGAGAAAATCCCCGGGTTTAGGTAAAAAAAAGTTTGATATGTGGCTTTTTTTGTTTTCTTTTGTGCATCTGAACACAGCCTGTACTAACTGCCCTTAAGGTTGCTCTTTCTTTGGGAGCTACGTCGCATGACTTCTATTCTCAGTACCAGGATGACATTTTTCAAGTATTTGGGTCATGGGCATAAGTTCAATGGATCAGATGAAAAGACTACACGGGGAGGGCGGGGCCGGCTGGGGCTGGGGCTGGGCCTGGGCTGGGCTGGGCTGATGCTGCTGTTTTGGTGTCACAAATTTATAGATATGCAGCTGTTTTATACCCCCCGAAAAAAACTGCCCCGAATTTGAAGACAAACCCAGAAAACATGGAACCCTAGTTATAAACAACTAATACACAACTCATACTCTGGTATTTGATTTTATATTAGAAACTGCATAGATTTCTTTTAAGGCCATGTAGCCCTCAAAGAATTTCTACATATACTGTCCGAAAGGAGACACATTGACCTCCTTTCGTGACATAAATTGCCCATAAAACGAGGGCGTACATGCCATATAGGTAGGCGTATAATCCTAGTTGAACCTTTGTTGTAGTTTGTTTTGCATTGTGGGCGAACTGGAGCAAGCGGATGGTAGCAGTACTGCATGAGGCGGACAACAGCGCTTGGATGTGCGTCAGCTTAGAGACAACTGTTGTGCCCTGAAAACAAAGATAAAAGAAGTGCAGCATCAATGGCCCCGTGACACTGCTCACGCAGGCGTCTGGCCACTGCTGATATCCAGTGGTAAAGTAGTTTAATCTTAACCATGTTGAATTAACCCGAGAGAACCATCAAAATAAAGAAGGGACAGAAAATAGAGGGGACAGCGTCTCGAACTCGACTAACTTTTTAATTTAGTCCACCTCTTTATGTAGTCTGAAACTCAAGGTCATCACCACCAGCACAAAAGGACGAAGTGTATACAGTTCAAGCGCTACAGTCTCTCCATCACACATGGAGACTGTGGCGCTTGAACTTTATAGACTTTGTCCTGTGTTGGTGGTGATGACCTGGAGTTCGAGACATATGAGGTGTACTAAATAAACGAGTTAGCTGAGTTTGAGACGTCGTCTTGTCTATTTTCTGTTCCTTCTATGTTTTGATGGTTCTCTTCTACCGCAGTCTCCGGTTAATTCAACATGGTTAATATTTACCGGGGGGGGGGCTGGGCTGGGCTGGGCTGGGCTGGGCTGGGCTGATGCTGCTGTTTTGGTGTCACAAATTTAGATATGCAATTGTTTTATACCCCCCGAAAAAACTGCCCCAAATTCGAAGACAAACCCGGAAAACATGGAACCCTAGTTATAAACAGCTAATACACAACTCATACTCTGGTATTTGATTTGATATTAGAAACTGCATAGATTTCTTTTAACCCCTTAAGTGGCAAATTTTTTTTCCAAAAGTAACCTAAAAGTGCCATACTTTTTATTTAGAATCGTTATTCCTCTAGTATTACGCATAAAATTTGAAGTTTATTACGCAAAAATCAGTGGAGGCGAAAAAATATTTGCCAACTAAAACGAGTGCTGCCATCTACAATCAGCGCCGCAAAACTACTCGGGCGAGCCTAGCTAGTTAGTGGAATTGAGGGCTACCGAAAAAACCACTGGGCGAGCTGAACTCGTCCACGGCATTTTTAGCCAGATAGTGGCCGATAAGCTCAGCTCGTCCAAGGCACTTAAGGGGTTAAGGCCATGTAGCCCTCAGAGTTTCCACGAATACTCTCCAAAAGGAGACGCATTGACCTCCTTTTGTGACATAAATTGCCCATAAAACGAGGGCGGACATGCCGTATAGGTAGGTGTATAATCCCAGTTGAACCTTAGTTGTAGTTTGTTTTGCATTGTGGGCCATCTGGAACAAGCGGATTGTAGCAGTACTGCATGAGGCGAACGACAGCGCTTGGATGTGAGTCAGCTTGGAGACAACTGTTGTGCCCTGAAAACAAAGATAAAAGAAGTGCAGCATCAATGGCCCCGTGACACTGCTCACGCAGGCGTCTGGCCACCGCTGATATCCAGTGGTAAAGTAGTTTAATCTTAACCATGTTGAATTAACCCGAGAGAACCATCAAAACATAGAAGGGACAGAAAATAGAGGGGACAGCGTCTCGAACTCGGCTAACTTTTTAATTTAGTCCACCTCTTTATATTGTCTCAAACTCAAGGTCATCACCACCAGCACAAAAGGACGAAGTGTACATACACAGTTCAAGTGCTACGGTCTCCATCACGCATGGAGACTGTGGCGCTTGAACTTTATAGACTTTGTCCTGTGTTGGTGGTGATGACCTGGAGTTTTAAGGCCCGTTCACACTCTTGCGACCGAGTACGACTGAGAGAGACGATATCTTTTAAAACTTCTTAAATGTTTTTAGAATGAGGGAACACACTGGCATTGCGGCGCCATCTATGCGGTGACCCTGGAACTGCATTTCACAAGAGCGAAGGTTTTGCGGGATTTCCGAGGTCAAATGTGCGTAATACCCATAGAAAGGCTCGTTTATAGCATTGACAAAAGTTTTTCGAGCCAAGAAAGAAAGGATAATGCGCGAGAAACAAAAAAAAAAATATGCCGGACCGCCGAGTTTACACTGCTTCCCAATAGATGGCGCCAGTGTGTTCTCTGGTTTAAGAAGTTTTAAGGAACCCAGGTTTAAGAGGTCGCAAGAGTGTGAACGGGCCTTTAGACATATAATGAGGTGTACTAAATAAACGATTTAGCTGAGTTTGAGACGTCGTCTTGTCTATTTTCTGTCCCTTCTCTGTTTTGATGGTTCTCTTCTACCACAGTTCGGTTAATTCAACATGGTTAATATTTACCGGGGGGGGGGGGGGGGGGGGGGGGGGCTGGGGCTGGGGGGCTGGGGGCTGGGGGGCTAGGCTGATGCTGCTGTTTTGGTGTCACAAATTTATAGATATGCAGTTGTTTTATACCCTCCGAAAAAACTGCCCAGAATTTGAAGACAAGCCCAGAAAACATGGAACCCTAGTTATAAACAGCTAATACACAACTTATACTCTGGTATTTGATTTTATATTAGAAACTGCATGTAGCCCTCAAAGAATTTCTACGAATACTCTCCAAAAGGAGACACGGTGACCTCCTTTCGTGACTTAAATTGCCCATAAAACGAGGGTGTACATGCCATATAAGTAGGCGTCTAATCCCAGTTGAACCTTTGTTGTAGTTTTTTTTTGCATTGTGGGCCATCTGGAACAAGCGGATCATAGCAGTACTGCATGAGGCGGACAAGAGCGCTTGGATGTGCGTCAGCTTAGAGACAACTGTTGTGCCCTGAAAACAAAGATAAAAGAAGTGCAGCATCAATGGCCCCGTGACACTGCTCACGCAGGCATCTGGCCACCGCTGATATCCAGTGGTAAAGTAGTTTAATCTTAACCATGTTGAATTAACCCAAGAGAACCATCAAAACAAAGAAGGGACAGAAAATAGAGGGGACAGCGTCTCGAACTCGGTTAACTTGTTAATTTATTCCACCTCCTTATTTAGTCTCAAACTCAAGGTCATCACCACCAACACAAAAGGACGAAGTGTATACAGTTCAAGCGCTACAGTCTCTCCATCACACATGGAGACTGTGGCGCTTGAACTTTATAGACTTTGTCCTGTGTTGGTGGTGATGACCTCGAGTTCGAGACTATATAGTAAGGTGTACTAAATAAACGGGTTAGCGGAGTTTGAGACGTCGTCTTGTCTATTTTCTGTCCCTTCTATGTTTTGATAGTTCTCTTCTACCGCAGTCTCCGGTTAATTCAACATCATTAATATTCACCAGCTTGCCTACAACCTTACTATATTTTCTAGTTATTTGGAGTTATTTAAACTTGTATTAGAAAATTTTAAATATTTGGGTAAAGCTTTGCAATGAGACATGCGTTTGCATAGGTAGAGTTTGTCTTGCATGACACAGAGTGTCATTTCACAATTGTAGGCTGGGCGGGTCAATACATACCAGGAGTCAATGGAACCCTCTCCAGATTGGCAGCAGTGATGCTGGCAGAGTAAAACTATGCTTGTGTATTTGAAAATAGGCCTCCTGATTCCCTTTGTGCATAGCGAAGTTAGGCTGTAATTTTGGGTCATATACATGCAATGCCCAGAGCTCCTTCGTTTCCCACTCAAAAGTCAACCCACCTCCTTTGTGCATGAATGACCTTGTAATACATTTGCTGCTTGCATTTCTGTCCTTGCCGCTTTGATAAAAAAAAAAAAATGATGCATTTGTTTTAGACCCGGATGCTCCCAGTCGACAGAGTCCCAAATACCGCGAGTGGCATCACTGGCTGGTGGTCAACATTCCTGGCGTGAATGTACCACAAGGAGAAGTCCTCTCCGAGTATGTGGGATCGGGGCCTCCGAAAGGAACAGGTGAGCTGCATTTTTGGCCAGCATTAGGCAGGACCCCGAAATTGATGCTGTCTGCGTCATCCTCTTGTGCAATCCCTTTTTGGGTTCTCACATGAGTTTGTTTGAATGTTACCTGCAAGGTGAATGCATCTGTCATTTGTCCTTAGTTGTCAGCATACTGCCACCTACTTCTTAAACGCTTAGTATTTATAGGCCAGCTCTTAACGTAAAATGTAGCTTCAATGATGTCAGGCTCAGTGTCGCATGACGTCATGTCAGGATGTCACGTCGGGAGGTTGGCTAGTAGGTGCCACAGCATGGGGTTGTAGGCAGGACTCCCTGTTTCAAGTATATTCTTTTTGTAAAATTTGAAGGGTCTTTTTGGAGTAAATTTTTTGCTGGAACTTCAAGGTTTATCGGAGTTTACTCTTGTTGGACTCAAAATTTTCGAAAGTTTGGAGTTTAAATTTTTTTTTTTTATATTTCAGTATAAAAAAAAGTTATAAAGCCCTTCCACTTCATGTGAAGATGGAGGACCAGCGAAGCTGTTACCTTCACGACGCCTAGAGGACGACGCCTAGAGGACGACGCCTAGAGGACGACGCCTAGAGGACGACGCCTAGAGGACGACGCCTAGAGGACGACGCCTAGAGGACGACGCCTAGAGGACGACGCCTAGAGGACGACGCCTAGAGGACGACGCCTAGAGGACGACGCCTAGAGGACGACGCCTAGAGGACGACGCCTAGAGGACGACGCCTAGAGGACGACGCCTAGAGGACGACGCCTAGAGGACGACGCCTAGAGGACGACGCCTAGAGGACGACGCCTAGAGGACGACGCCTAGAGGACGACGCCTAGAGGACGACGCCTAGAGGACGACGCCTAGAGGACGACGCCTAGAGGACGACGCCTAGAGGACGACGCCTAGAGGACGACGCCTAGAGGACGACGCCTAGAGGACGACGCCTAGAGGACGACGCCTAGAGGACGACGCCTAGAGGACGACGCCTAGAGGACGACGCCTAGAGGACGACGCCTAGAGGACGACGCCTAGAGGACGACGCCTAGAGGACGACGCCTAGAGGACGACGCCTAGAGGACGACGCCTAGAGGACGACGCCTAGAGGACGACGCCTAGAGGACGACGCCTAGAGGACGACGCCTAGAGGACGACGCCTAGAGGACGACGCCTAGAGGACGACGCCTAGAGGACGACGCCTAGAGGACGACGCCTAGAGGACGACGCCTAGAGGACGACGCCTAGAGGACGACGCCTAGAGGACGACGCCTAGAGGACGACGCCTAGAGGACGACGCCTAGAGGACGACGCCTAGAGGACGACGCCTAGGATGAACACAAATCTCCAAACACAGCTAGGTGACTGGTGCCTGACCGAAAATGTCCGCCTGGTCCGGGTATCGAACCCGGGACCTCAATTTGCAGTGGAGCGTTCTGCTAACTGAGCTAACCAGGGGTTAGACGTCGGTAGAGCAAACAGGTTTTATCAGCCGCCTACAGTCTTAACGCTAACAAGGGTGAAAGGCTTGCATTTTAAGGTTATGATTATAGTGCAGTTGCATGCAAAGGTGCAAGCGAGCTGGACACGACTGACTAAAATAATCCCTGGAGAAGGGGAACAAGAGGGACAGAGGACAAACGCATATCTCCAAGCACAGCTAAGTGACTGGCGCGATGGGAGTGCAGTATGCCATTTATGACACAGTAAAAATAGTAAAAGAATAGTGTAGTTTTTTAACGTCTTTCATGCAATATGATCGGCGAAAAATCAATTAACGGATTTATGGATTGATTAGTCTGTTAAAGAGTAGCGATCAGTCGTGTTGATTTTATGATAAAGCCGCAGCTCCAATCAACGTTCAATGTTTTATTAAAGCTATGGTTTGTACGAGATAACAAATATGCGTGGGACCAGCGATTGTATACAAACCAACACACTAAGATTGTGGAAGCTTCCGACTTAATAATAATCGCTTCCCTGAATTTCTATGCGTGTGAGACGATGCAACATAACCTTTAGTAAGAAGAATTGAGTACAAAACCGTCAAACATTAATTAAGGAGGGTCAAGCTCAGCCGGAAACGGGCTTGCGTCGTCGAGATCCATACTTCTGAATGTGTGCCCGTAGCAGATGACGCACAGCAGTATCCCCGCTTTCGCATGTTTCCAATTTTGGCCGCATGGTGGTGACAGGGTTCACTCTCGAGTGTTCAGACACAAATGTGGCCTAAATTTATAAAATCTCACTGGTATCGAAATAGATTTGTGCAGCTGTATGTGGCATTGGTGCCTTTGAGATTGGCAGTACTAACTGCCTCACGAGAAATCTTGCAAACAAGTGTTGCTTTAATAAATGTCTGGACTTTGAAATAGCCAAACTCCTTGGACATAGCCATTGTGAGGCATAAACACTTCAGCTGCTCTCCCCTGCCTATGAAAACTACAGGTTTGTATTTTTCACTGTTAAAAGAACAAAAACCCTCCTACTAGGAATCACAGTAGGTCTCGGCTGGAAGCCAGAACAGTGCTTTTGTCCTCGCCCAGAAGTAGATTGGCCCATTGTACTGAATAAACCCTGACCAGATAAACGGGAAACTCCCTCTTGTCGATAATCCTAGACTAAAAGAGAGGAAAAAAAAAGTGGTTTTATTTAGGATTGCTAACCCTTTTTGCCATCGTGACTTCGAAATGCATAGTTTTTAGACAAATCCAAAATGACAAATTTTCCCAGCGAGTGTTTTTCAGAGTTCAGATTTATCCGAAAACACAAAATCCTAGTTATACTAGGCCTATCTGCTGGCCGTGCACGCCTCTTGCATTTCCCCCTTTTCTTTTGTGCAAATAAAATTGATTGATAATTGTTGTCGCATCATATTACACTGGCATTATAGTGTCATGTAAAGCAATGCGATTGCTGTGCCATTTACGCCAAACTGTGTCAAAGTGCTTATACATTTTACCCAAATATGAGGAATTCGCACCAGCATTGTGGCCAAAGTTAATTTTGCTTTCTCAATACTGAAACAAATAGCTTGGGACCACAATACTGCCCGTTTGTTACGGTAGGCTTGTATGAATTTGCAACACGGTGATTATCGCTTCCAATATCGCAATATCCTATTTTATTTTCGTATCAAATACTGGCATTACTGGGGAGTTCCACCATACTTCGTGGTAGCTTCAGGCAGGTTAGTTAGCCTCGTTGAGTGCGCTTCTTACCGTGCACTAGTGCACTGCGGAGAAGCGACAGCCGTGATGTAGGCCTTGCGCCTTTGTAGGTCTCCCCTCGCTGCGGTGCAGCTGCGTGCTAAGGGGAATCAGTCTTTAAGAGTGGTATGGCGCACGCATACAGATTAGGTACTTGGAAAAAAAAAAATATATATATATATAAACATCTGGGGAATACTGATGTGATAACTTGCTTTGCAGTTAAATATTAAAAATAAAACTGCAACCAAAATAAAAGTGCAATATCCTGCTGAATTACTTGCACCATTGGTAGTGACATATTTTAATTTCGAGATTCATGAAACTTGGGTATAGCAACAGGGTTTCGCAGTAACCCTGGTGAGGAAGGACTATATAAGTAGCACCATAACATTGATTTTTTTTTTTTGTCAAATTTTGCACATTAGTGACCACCTCTTTTAGGCTTTCAACTGTTTGAAGGTGCAGTCAGTAAAAGTTTAAAATAAATTACCTTTAGCAGTGGAAGATCTGAGGTGGTGAATAATCTTAACGAGTTCTGCTTGATATTTTAAGGGGGCACACTGGTCTTGGAGCTCTTTTCCTTATTTTATGACCAAACTCGATGAAACTGCACAAGCTTGTTCAGCTTTTTGTGCTGATTTCATATATCTGGTAATTTCTTCATTCAGTAGAATTGTCCTGAAGATAATTAAAACTTGCCTGCCTTTGTTTGGAGGAATGATAGGGAAAAGACTGCTCAACAAAATATCCTTTTCAACACATGGCCAGATACTACGAAGTGTAAAGAATACAATGTTGGAAGTACTTTTAAGATAAACCCATTATTAGTGATTTTGCAACATATTGAAGTTCAGTGCTCAATGCATGGCTAACAAGTAATAAAACAAAAGGTCAAATAAAAAATTTTCTATACTTATATTAAAAAATCTGCTATCAACATTTTATGCTTCACACATTTAGCAATACATTTCAAGAAAGGTTATATTTCTGACTGCTGTAGGTGCTGAGATATCCCTCCCACAATTTTTCAACGAGTCCAAAAATTGTGTTATGTGAAAACAATGTTTTAGAGTCAACTTTAATGCACATTCAGCCTGCATAGACATTATAAATTGATTTATAGCTTGATTATTCATCCACAAAGTTAGAAGCGTGGTAGATTCAGAAGAACAACAGCCATCGCTGTTGTTCTTCTGAATGAAAGATCTCGAAGCACTCCATCCTCGATCGCTTGGGCGTCTACAACCAGTGCGCTGTCGTCGCGATTCGAACTCTGAAATGCTGTCGGAATCGCTCCCGTCGTCGACAGAAGGCTCCAAAAACTCGCTATCCTCACCAGACGTCCCGTTGTCATCGCTGTCGAAGAGATATATATATTTTCACCGTTGGAAAGGAGACACCGCACACTGGACGCTGCCATCTTCTCCAAGCAGGCAGTGATCAAGCGGGAAAAACGACACACAAAAGAACAAGCTCAGACAAACACAGTGGACAGAACGACCCTTGCCATCTGTTGGCAATGTATCTAACTGCACTACCCCAAGTCTATATAGCGCACCATCTATGAATGGCTCTTTAAAATAGATATTCATGCAGACCGGCGAATCGCCGGTTTTGGCAATATGGCCCCCGACGGCACACCCAGCAATTCGCCGGCTTTGGTAGCAAATGGGTTAATACACTTTGAGGCGGAATTGCGTCATAATATTTTACTTGTAGGCTTTTCACATGATACGATGTAGGACTGCATCGTTTCTCAACATCGACATTTGACCGATTTTGCCCTTTAAGTACATTGCGTCAAGTCGCAATGTCAGGTGATACCATGATGTTGAGCCTATAAATGATGTGCATTTAAAGCGCCTTTGGGATGTACCAGAGATGAGCAGTTTTTCATTTGGCAGCAAGTGAAATTTCAATTTTAATTGGAAAACAGCATTAATCTTGTGCATTCATTGGGTTACATGGACGTTAGCATGGCTGTTTCATGGTTATCGCGGTGATCAGACATGGTAACTGGGTTATCTGAAAGCTGTAACACGGTGTCGCAGGACTGCATCGGTACGTCTTCGTGGTGTACAAGCAGCCCGGCAGGCTGACGTGCGACGAGAAGCGCCTGACCAACCGCTCGGGCGACCACCGCGGCGAGTTCAAGATCCGGGAGTTTGCCAAGAAGTACCAGCTGGGAGAACCTGTGGCGGCCAATTTCTACCAGGCCGAGTGGGACGATTACGTGCCCAAGCTCTATGAGCAGCTGAGCGGCAACTGAGCTGGCCCCATGAATCCCGGCTGGCATGTTCTCTCTACTGCACACACTGCTCTTCTATTTGGTTAGCTGCTTTGCTTTGCCTTGTTTAGCCACTTACACTGCAAGCCCAATCCCTTATTGTTCTTGATTTTTTTTTTTTCATATGCACTAAATAAAGACACTAATATCCATGCAAGCTGTGTTATCTGCAGTAGTTGATTCAAGACTGTTTTCACCTTTGTGTTCCTTAAAATTATTTCGAGGACGGTGCATTTTTATTTTTTTATCCTAATTTTAAAGTTTTTACAGTGCAGAGTAGAAGCTCTTCAGAAACTATAAAATATTTAATAATGGCACAATGTTATAAAAAAGAAAAAATGCAGGGCTAAAGCAAAAATCTTTTTTTTTTCTTCTGATCCAATCAAACGGCAGAAATGGAGTGATTTTAAATTTAAAATGATATCCTCATATACTAATAAAAGCAGCCCGGGTAACTACTAGCTTATGGTTTTGTTTACCAATAAGTCTCTCGGCCAACCCCTATACAGGATGTTTAATTTTAAATATGAACAGATTCATCTTAACATATCCGTGAAAGATGCATTATACAGCCAGGGGGATGTAATATAGGGGCAAGTCGAATAATTAACTAATTTATTTTTACTTTTTAATTAATAAAAATAAACACTATTTCAATTAAAAACTTGCAGAGTGTCATGAAAAACCACTAAATCTGTTTTTAGAAAGATTTGATGCGATTGGCTTGGTTTTTCTGGATCCCAAAAATGTGTCTAAATTCGACACGCTTGCACAGTTTTTCTGTTTATGTTTTTACACTGCCAGCCTTGTGCCTGGCGCATGAGTGCTAACTTTATGCACCTCTGCGCTTCTCACAAGCTTAAAGGGGCCATGAAACAATTTTTCAACATTTTTCTTAGCTTTCCTCCCTAATTCGCAAATCGCGCAGTGTTACCAAAGGCGTGGGGCGAGAGTATACCGCTAGCAGTTCAGAAGGAGGAACTCCCCTCCTGCTCGGACGTTCCTTTGCATACCCGCGCCAAGTCGCTATTATCCCCCTAAAAGATTACCCCCTTGTTTAAAATTCAGACAAGTTGCTTTCTTGCCCCCTTCTGCCCGTGGCTTCCGCTGTACTGCCCATAATTATCCACCGTTCACCCCTGAGCTGACAGTGCTGTGGGATCTATGTGCTCGTTGGGCCAGTCACGCTTCTATCTTTTGCTACGTGATCACGCTCCCTCGTCCAGAGAATAGGGCAGGTAATGAAAGGGAGGTGGCTGATTGGTCCGGCAAGTGGGTATTGCTCTCACCGCACTGTCAGCTTAGTGTGAACGGTGTACAGGGAGTGTATAGTGACTCGGTGCCGGGTGACATGTTTTAGGTACCGCGGATGTATCCCAGTGAGAAGGCTTTCCAAGGAAAGGAGGTACGAATTAGTCCGCCATGTTTTCAAACTTTTGTACCGAAAGGGAGGCTTTTGAGTTTCTGTGCTCTCTTTTGACCACAAAACGATGTGCTACTAGTAAAATCCCAATCTAAAATCATATGTCCCAACCCAAAATTCACTTCATGGCCCCTTTAAAATCTGTCTATAATTGACCGATTTAGTGGTTTTAGATGATGCTCAACAAGTTTCTAATTCGAACCATGTGCTTATTTTCACTAACAATAAAGTCATTAACAAATTTTAATTATTTTACTTACTGTGATGATTAGCCCCCTATATTAGGTCCCCCTGGCCATATAACTCACTTGTGCAGAATGCATTAGTGTATCTTTTGGAGCTTTTTAAAAATCTGTTCTAATTAATATCAAATGCCCCGTATATACCTTTATCGAGCAGTAAAAGGTAGTCCAAAGTGCTGCAATGTCTAGTGGGATCCACACCCTAGCATTTCCTGCAATTTAGTTGAGAATGGAGCATAATAAATGCATGCATGCTTGGGGCAATGGTAAAAGTGTAATACCAAATTTGCTGGAAGAAGGAAAATTTATATTTGAAATGAGTTGCACAGAGTTTCAGCATCGAGATATTACATTGTCTTGCAAATTAACTTCTTATATATCAGACGAAATAATGCTAGCTTTCTCGCATTATTCCAATAGGCATTATTATTGCTTTATCAGGCGTTGCTTGAAAAGCATGGCACGCTGTACCCTTAGTGCCCCCCAACCGATGCTCTGTCAAGCTTGACTTGACATGCAGATTCGGACAGGACAGCCGCAGCTTTGTTTGTTGCTGCTTTGTCATCCAGTAACCTTGTAAGCATCTTTGGACTATTAAGAGCCGTGCTTAGCAGCGTTTGCCCCTTTATTAACTGCAGTATTACTTGAACCTGATTTATTGAAGGGGGTTGCAAAGCTTGAAGTTGCAAATCTTCTGTTCCCCAATGCAGTGTTTCTCTTGTCCATTTTTATTTAAACCGCCGTTCCTGTATTGCTTAGAAGCAAAAGCAAGCAAAGACCCTGCAGTGGTTGCAGCACATGACTCGCTCTCTCCCACAAGGGTAGTGCGTGCGAGTTTTATACTGTCGTACATCTTGACAAATGCCTTCACAGATGCCAATCTGCACACTTCCTCTTGGCAGTGCACCGATTGTTTTTAACTCTGCTCTGCAGAAGTTGCCAATGCATGATTGTTGCCTGGATGCATGCGTGTGGTGTGCAATAGTTGCATGTCGAGCAACACTTTGTTTGCAGCCTAATACAAAGACTGTAACTAGCATGTTGGCATAGATCTGTAGGAAATGAAGGTATGGAATAGGGTTAAAAACAGATGTAAAGACGGTATGTGTCAGTCTTCAATGCCAGTTATTCCATGCTTTTATTTTTCCTACATATATCCTGTAATAGGAATATTGCCCTAGGGATTTCTCGCTTTGGTGAATGGTGTGGGATACATTTACAAGTGAAAGGACTCTTCGACGATTGCGCTTGGAAATGGTGTAATTCAAGCTAATTGCTGAAAGGGATGGAAAAGCCTTTCATTAAAGTGGTTGCTTGTTTGGAAGTGATATATGGCACAGAGCCAATTTTAAACCAAAGGCCCTGTGGTGATGCATCTCAAAATGTAGTAGCTGCATTTAGAAGGGTCCTCGGTAGGGGTGTACAAATGGTGGTTCGAATCTAGTTGTACTGCATCACCCGTGGCTTCTGTGTGGAAATGCTGACATCGATATAGTATTCTTTTTTTTTTTTTGCACTGCAGAAGCCCGCAGAGATGGTGCTGTGCTATGTGAATCGAGTCAATGCTGCATAGCTCTAGTTCTTCTATAGTAAGTTATAGGCGCAGTGGATATGCTGGTCTTGTAGCACCTTGCAACACATGGCAACTAGCAAACCCAATAAGGGTTACTTTGCAGTTGCTGCAACAGGAAAGCTAAAGCAGTTCGTAGCAGCGGCCAGTGTTGTTGCTGTCAATGTAAACTACTATACTTCAAAACCAAGGGACATCTTTCATGCAGTACAGCTGAAAGAGAGCAACTGTTAAATGTTATGATGGCAGTACATGCACACACACCATTGCACATGCAATGCACACACACACCACGGTCATGCACTCTGCATGTTCACTTGTTCCTCCATCATTTGTCGGAGGGGAATTGTAGTCATGTTGCCGATTCCACCCCTTCTATGGCCTGTTACAGAAAAGGGGCTACCCAGTCGGTTAAAGCCAGAGCTGTTGCACTGGGTGAATTTTATGCTGTTGGATATGAGAGTAGCATTTTCCTTTCCATTGCAACTAGAGAAAAACTTTCATTAGCAATAAGGTCTTATGCCCAGAGGGTAAATAAAAGAAATAAGGAAAAAGGCCTGTAATGAACAGAGGTTGAACTGGTGTTGCCATGTTTAGTAAACTGAAAAAGGAATGGATAGATTTATTTGGCTTGCCTGACCTGGCTGAACTACTATTTCAGTTTGGAGACTGCTGCTTTTGATTCAACTAGAAGTTACAGCTGCTATTCCAGGTCTTTTGCTGCACGACTTGTGCAGTTGACCACCAAACACCGGGATTTAGAATGTTTTGCTAAATCAGAGGACCTACTGACTTAATAAAGCAATATTCTTGTGAAGTCTATATTTTCACATACTGGCATTAAGTGGTCATGGATAAAGCTGATAACCTAAATATTTTTTCCAAAGTCCCTATTTTACGAGACCCTAAGACCCTAGGGATTATATGCGTGCCATAATGAGCTGTCGACTTGAGTGAACCATGCACCATATTGTTTCTGTCGTTAAACAGCTTGTCACAGGCGACTATAAATGGCAGAAGAACCAAAAGGTTTTCCTCCCCCAGATGTTGCATGATGAAGCAGTCTATACCCTTTCACCAAAGGCCTTTGTTCAAACATAGTAGGAAATGGAGGTTTTGGTTATGTGTAAATTGTTTCTACAATGTGCAAACAGGGATTGCTCTCATTCCCTAAAGCAGTGGTTCTCAAATGAGGGTCCACAGAGGCATTCTAGGGGTCCACAAAACCCAGCCTCATCAGTTGAGCCCGTCAATAAAAGTTGTCTTCTCAGGGAGAGAAAAAACTTTCCAATTTTCGGGCGAGTTTTTTTGTTTTTATGTCAATAAGAGAAATCTACCACACACTAGCCCTTAGTTATACTTATTTATTAAATTACTATCGTTAACCTATAACCTTCCCTTCCCCTCTTTACGAGCAGAATCCTCCATCATCAGCGCCAACCCACAAGGGGTCCGCGAACCATCGATGGTTGAGAACCACTGCCCTAAAACTTTATTCCATAAAACAATGAATCCTTTCAGCTATGTCCATAACAGACTTGTTGCCAGGACAGATCGCCTTTTCTCACCTTGTGCTGCCCACAGTCCACATTATTTCTCAAGTTAATTTCCAAATTACACATTCAATCTCTGTTGGAACGAAATATTCTTAAATGCGTTTGTCAAGCAAACAGTTTGAACACATGCAACGAGCAAAATTAGTTTTCCTATTGGTCAATAAAGGCTATTTAACTTGGATGCAATTCTTTCCTGTATTACAGCAAGTGAATGGACAGCCCTGCAAATGGGGCGATTTGTCGGACATTCACATGCTTTGGGGGGATGGCTGTAAAAATTTGTGCACTAAACAATGTGGGCTCAATGAAAAAAAAAAAAAAAAAAAAAGTGCCAATGGCATGGCACCAAGACCTTTTGCAAAAATT